TACATTGATTAATATACTAACATATTGATTATCTAATTGCATTATTATGATAACCTTTTAGCACTAAACAATCAACTTGATAATCTCTGAGAGCTGGTTGGTTAAATGATCAACGTTGGTTATTTAATCAACAACACTTATTAGCATGTAAAGTAATGAAAAAAAAGTTTTCAGAAAGTTTATCATGATGAATTTTATCATGATTAAGCTCATTTAAATATTTATTTGGAATTATTCAAATCATTATAAACTTAACTCGCTTGAAACTAGTTGAATTTATCCATAAAATTAATAGTGATTAGGTAATCATGATGATCAGCAATTAAAAATGATGATTAGAGTTCATTAATGATTAGAGATAAAGGAAGAACAAATTTTCTCGATCTGATAAGTTCTGAACATTTTGTTTGGAGTTTTGTTTTTCTCTTTCTTTTCTTTCCTGGAGATAGTTCTTGTTCCGAGAAATCATCATCATTATCTCCTGAATCTATGAATTATCATGCTCAGATCAAACATTCTCTCTCTCTCTCTTCTGTATACTGATTACTTTGAACTTCTCAATGTAATTTATGAGTCCAATGAACAGATAAGATTCCTAATGGGCTTTAGGGTTCTTTCAACTTATTCCAAAGAAAAAATCATCTTATCATGTTGATTGAGTTTTCACCTGGAAATTCCTGTGAAAAGTTCAGAGGGTGGAAATTGTGTCGAAATCTTCTGACACTTGAATCAATCAAAAATCCAACGAACAGCCTTAAATACATCGAAAGTTACTCATGGTCACTGAATGAATTCCAAGTATCTAACACTGACCAATACTTGATGAAGGTAATTTCTACTTGACCAAAGGTTCAAAAAGGTTGTGATATACTATTAATGACCATTGGTCAATCTGATTATTTTTCTGGTTGAAACCACGAAATTGAGGAAACGATTCAAGTGAAACTTTTTCAAAGAAAAAAAAACTCCCAAACTTTTTCATACCCATTGAACACCATTATTTTTATCACCAACAAGGAGTAAATTACAGGGAATGGAAATGAAGCAACAATGAACTCAAAGAATTCTGGCTGACTCAGAATTCTGAGTATATTATTTATCTTTTACATGAGAAAATTGTAAAGAAAACCCTTTCGACTGTAACTCCTTGACCCAATTTCCGCTTTAATACTCATATTTTTTTTCCTTTCTCTGTACCATTTCCGTTCTCATGTAATTCTCATATTATTGCTACTGAATTTGTGGTTGTTATTACTTCATAATTGATTATCATGATAATCAGATTTGATACAGTTCTATTAATCCGGAAAGCATGATGATAACTGAAAGTGAGTTACATTGACAGTAGTTGATGTTATTGTTATCATTTGTCCTAATTCTGGGGAGGAAAAAAAAAGTTCTGAAAGTCAACAAGTTTTAACATGAAATTTATCATGTCATGATTATCATTTACTAGGCCAGGGTCAGTTTATTTACTCGTTGATAAATATGATTAATGTCACAAATTAACAGATTGCGATCATTGGGATTTAATTATCACAAAATTCAAGGTTTATCTTAATCATTAAGGGAATAGGAATCATTGTTACTCATCAATAGATTGTCATAATGGTTGTAACTTGATTTGATTGTTGAGAAGAAAGTTTTTGTTTTCATGGAAGAGGATGAACCAAATTTCACCATGAAAATCCAGCTATCGATTTTGTTTCAAGTTCTGAATCATGTTGATTTCCATTGATAAACTTACACAGAAAATGATGAGGGTTAACATTGACTCTGAATTGCTGGTCAATATAATGACCACAAGGATAAAGATGAAGGTGAAAAGGAATCAGATTAGATAAGGAGGATGCTGATGGTGAAAAGAATGAATATAAATTGAGTCTGAATTCCCTGCATCCTCATGAGTATTTGTTTTTCCACCCACTGTCACAATCTTCATCATCTATTATTGATCAATCATGATTAACCTTGATCCAAGTTTATTTTCCCCTGAAAATTTCATCATTTCCAATGAATATCATTTCCAATCGTTACCAATCAGTTGCAATTCAATTGTGAAACAGTTAATCTCGATCATTAATATTGAATAAGATCAATTTAACGGTAAAATTAAATTTGATTGTTAATTTGTGACGAAAATTCAATTAAATGGATCAATTATAATGAAAATTTAATGAACACATTCAATTGTCTCCGTAATTGAGTATTCATATTACAATTGAAATTTCATTTCTATTCAACTATTAAATTTTCAATTAAATTTACAATTGAATCATTAATAGTTCAAAATAATATCAAAATAATAGACTTGGTTGATTTGATGATAACTTTATGACAATAGAAAGCAAAAAGTTTTGTCAACATGTTGAAAGATGAAGATATTGACCACTGGTCAGTGAGACAACATGACACACTTTTCATTGTAAACAAGAAAAAGTTGTCACTTTAAACTCTACTAGTTAATTGATCAATTTAACACGATTACCGATCTATTAATAATATTTATAATTAAAACTCTTTTGTTGGATTAATTAAAAAACAACGAATCTGTTAAATAATTAAATTAAATTCTTAATGATTAAGTGGATGATTAGATTTTCTTGTTGTTTGAAACACTTTTCTGGGTCAAATTTTGTTGATTACTTTGATTGTTATCTGTTTTCCCGATCAACTTAATTGCTTGTTGATTGATTTTCACTTTTACCATGAAAATTATTATCAAAAAAAAGAGTCATTATCATGTTTCCCTGAATTGCTTACTGAACTTTTCCCTCAAACTGGCAACCTCAGCTTCTTTGAATTCCTTGATAGCCTTGAGCTTTTTATTCAGCTTCTTCTATCTCTCATGGAAAGAATTTGGAATTTCCTGAGAAGAAAAATTCGAAAATTCCAATTTTCTTTTTTAGTTGAGAAAATTTAAGATAATAAGAATTTCGTTGCAAAGTAATTCTCAACTTCTCTGATAATAATGATACATGAAATTCACCTCATAATCATTTATTCACCATGAGAAATCATTATGATAACTTATAGTAAATTCTGATCTAAAAGAATAGATAAAATATTGAAATAAATTCTGATTAAAATTTAAATTACAATGAAACTAACAACGTCATCATTGTCATGATTAAACTTGATGATTGATGGTGATTCAAGTTCAGTGTGGGTGGTTCATTGGGTGTAAGAGGTTAAACTAAACTGAGACCATGATAAGTTTCAGGTACAATAACCCAATATTTTGATAAAAAAGTTCTGAGCATTTATCTCATTGTGTTAATAACATTAACCTTGACATTTATGTGGTTATAAAGCAAGGAAAATGAATCATTAATTTAAATTAATCATCATCATTACAATTACTACATGATATATACAAAAGGAATGAGAGTTTAAAAAGGAGTAATAATTAATTTTAATTCAGTTCCATTGGAAATGATTATCTGACATTCATTTGATTCCAAGGAATAAAGTAAATTCAATCAAGATAATTAGGGATCATTGGTATTACAATTACAAATCAGAATTTGAGACGATAATATAATTAGCATTCTGAGAAATCATGATGATTCTTATTGTTATTGTTCATCTTTATCATCTTATTGTAAAATGATGATAAAGATAAGAAAGGAAGATGAGAGATGAGGAAACTTGTGAATGAATATAAATTGTTAGTGTAATGATGTTAGTTGAAGATAATATGGAAGATGAGAGAGAGAAATTGTAAATTTATCTTCATCATGAAGATTCATGATGGAAAATCAAATGAACTTTTGTCTGAACATCTTAAAAAGATACGGATCAAGATGAACTTTACATGGAAACGAGAAAATCACATAATATGATTAAAAAATTTTCTTATTTTTTTCCTCTCTTTGGAATGATTATTTATCATTTCTTTATTCTTCTTCTGTCTTTCATGATACTCGGAATGATCATGGAAAATGTTGAAGATGGAAAAAGTTCTGGTTAACATTCTGGTAGCATTTAGATATATCATTGAGCTAAATTGTTTACAAGAAAAAATTGCTCACCATTAATTATCATTCGTTTGATAAATTTCATTACGATATTATCTTCATCATCTCAATTTTATCATGATGATTATCTATCATGGGAAAACAAGAAGAGGAAATATATTGAATTATTTTAGAACTGAGCTAGAACGGAAATGTTCAGTTCGATAGAAACTTCCGACTTTTTCTGTTGATATAAATTCATTTACATTCATCTATTGATAAGTGAATAAATTATCACCATAGTGCTCATTATCATCATGAGAAATATTAATATTTTTATCATGATTATTATGATGATTCAGAACTGGAATTGACCATGAAAAGATTGACTTGACCATTGGAATTGGACTTTTCTAATGATCACTCTTGCCTTTGAACTCGATTTAGAACATGTTAATGCTCATAAAAATTGAAAGATTTTGAAATCAATTTAATTGTTGATTATTCCATTTGATGAGCAATTAAGATTTCTGTTCATCAATCGAACCATTTAGATCATATTAAAGATCTGATCTAATTTCGAGACAGAATTGATTCACCATGAAGAAGCTCAGTTCTTATTCATTTTCATTAATCAGTTGTCTCTTGAAACTTTTCACATGATGTTTTCTTTTCAATCGTAATTCATTACAATTTAATCCAATTGTTGAATTTTTCGTTGAGTTGATTTCAAAATAGATTCAATTTATCACAATAATTGCGAGTGATGAAAAATTTCAATTCTGATATTCAAATTGAATCCAAAAGTTTTTCGATCGATTTCAAAGTGAATAATTAATCTCAATGAATCTGGAATCGAGTCTGATCAATGAATGATTGAAGACAATTAATCAAGATGATCTAATCAAAGAAGACAAATTAGATTAGATCAGATTAATAAGGTTAATTGGGACCAAGGGAAAGATTAGCTTATTATTGCATCAAGATCAAACTGATTAATTGTGATTTGTTGGTTCTAATTGTGTTCATTAACATTTACAGCGATGCCTCTTGAACTTTATCAGCTTTGGCATCAATATCCTTGGGAATTGGGTGGATTTGCATGTCAGTTAAAAGTGCTGATTCCAGAGACAACGGCAAATGCATCGATTTTGACCCTGGTCACTTTTACCCTTGAACGATACGCAGCCATTTGCGGTTCACCCAAAACCCCACCACCGAACATAAACTCATCAAGTTCAACGCGAAATCGGTTCACTAGAAACACTCTCGCAATCTGGTTACTTGGACTTCTCGGTGCATTACCGCTTGTACTTTACACAAGAATCAATTATCTCTACGTGAATGACCAACCACTTCAAGGGTCAGCTTGGTGTGGATTACCTTTTAATGATCCCGATCGAACTTGGGAAACAATCATGTTATCATCGACAATCATTTTCTTTATATTTCCATTGTTAATCATTTGTCTTCTTTATTATTTCATTGCGATTACCCTTAAAAAAGCAACTCGACTCGACCCAATCAGCAACATCGATTTGCACTTGAATGATCAACGATGTTCACGAAAAATAATGCAGTCTCGTAAAATTGTGATTCGATTACTTGGTAAGTTAATTGTCTAATTATAACTGGATAGAAATTAATTGTTCCATATTTTTCTCATTCACTGACCAGTGGCCATTGTAATTGCGTTCACCATTTGCTGGACACCCTTTCATGCTCAACGATTGTTATTTTTGTATGTTTCTCTTTATTCCGAGTGGTCAAATCAACTTCGCAGTGTTAATCAAGTCCTTTTCCCGATGGCAGGTAAATTTAGCTTATATCAATTGCGATAATTTTAAATTGATTAAGATTTTTTTTCCATTCCATTTCAAGGTGTATTCTATTACTTGAATTCGAGTATCAATCCAATTCTTTATTCTGTCATGTCCACGAGGTTTCGAGTTGCCTTTTCTCTTTATATTAATGGCCTTTTCAACGGGACCCGAGGTAGAGACAAATCTGTGGGAGGAGGTGGAAGAGGTAATAATAGTGATAATTCATTGATACTCAACATGCCCGGAGGGAAAACACCCAAGATCCAATGGCGATCACCTAATTTCATTGATTCTTGAAAACAGAGTTTCTTGTAATTACATTAATGTAAATAACAATTAATTTGGATAAAAAAAAAAGACTAACAATCAACTATCTGTTATTTTTCAATTGATATTTATTATCATTAAATGATAATCATAATAGGAGATTGATCTTTGTGCACAAAACAAGAAAAAAATATTGTTTCGCCTTGTATTTCAATCTGATCTCAAATCTCAAGCCAAAATGATTTACTTTTTGTTTGATTAAATTATTCACATAATTTGCTACAATAAAAGTGAATTAAAAAACTTTTAATCCAAATTTTTGTTTGTCTAAGTCAATCGTTCATTTTATTCCCATTTAGATACGTTGGCATCGATTGATGTTACCAGTCCGTCCCCGAAAATGTACAAATCCTCCATCATCGCTTCCGCATTGAAAACGACCAGTGGTTTTCCTGATTTATTTGTTGTCTCTGTCAATTTACAATCTTTAGCATTGGCCAAGTACATTGGTTTATTATCGAAAGTATGAGGTTTCCAAATTAAATAGATTCTTGATCCACCAAATCGATCGTAAAAGAAAAGAGCATAATCACCGAAGTGCCTTCTTAATTCATTTAGGAAAAATTGGACTGGATTGTAATCGACAATGGGAAAATTTTCCATTTTTCGTTGTTCTTTTCTCCTTTGGAAAGACAATTTCTGCTTATTGGAGATCATATTGTGTCGAGTGAAGTTCAAATTCAGGTTAAAATTAGGAATATGATTTTTATCCAAATGAATTGTCAAGTTGTAGATTTCAGTTGATGTTTGAAACAGTGGCTGTTGAATGAAGAAGCAATAAAACAGAGTGAAAATCAATAATAGAAATTAAGAAATCAATATTTACGACAATTAGGAAATTATATTTACCAGGAAATCAGCTTTCACTAAATCACCAGTACACTTTTGAATATAATCGTAACACTTATTGGCTAAGAAATTTAATCTTTGCATGATCGGTGGTGTGGGTTTTGCTTTTGTCCATAACGATTTAGTTTTATCAAATGGAGTGGAGATAAATATCGGCGGAAGTTGACCACGATTCTCTTTGAAATAAGTTTCTATTTCCTGGATATCTTCTAGTTTTAATTCATCGTTGAAATTTATAATCAATGGTTTTCGAGCCCATGGATATGAGATTAACAAACGGAGGAATCTAATGAATCCCGATAATGGAGACCTGTGAAAATGGAACGGAAAAAGAAAAGATAATTATTCAGTTGAAATTGAACCATAAGTGGTTTAAAAGCTTACATGGGAGGTGAATATGGGAATGGATGAAGATAGAGATAGGCAATGATCAGTTCGATTGCAATTTCATCAATATTATCCCATAATAAATGCCTCGAAATCCAGCATTTAGCTAATCTGACAACGGCACTGAAAGTGGTAAATCTTGTATTCACACTGTGCAAAGAACTTGTTACAATTGGTAAGCTGATGTGAAATTTTGTTAATTCATCGGCTTCAGGTGATTCGATGGTTTTAATCATTCCTTCCGGTGTCATCGTGTGTCGCATTAAATGAACCTCTTTTGCACAAGCAAAGTTAATGCGGAAAACCATAGATTCATGCCAAATATCAAGGTAACGTTTCTGAGGTTTACACAATAAACCAAATTGAGTTTTAATCGCTTCACTCAATTCAATGATGAAAGCAGCTTTGACTCGTTTCAATGCTTCTAAATCTGATGGCCATTTACCGCTTGTCTCCAAATGAACGATAACTGAAAATATCAAATTTACATTAGACTCTAAGGTAATGAACTTTAAATGAATTGAAAGAGCATTATAATTACCATTTACTGGTTCAATGTGTTTGAGACTTGTCTTTTCGGTGTTTTTCAAAAAGGTGACACAGTTTTCTTTGATTCCATAGGATGTTTCATCGTAATTGGGAGGGACAATTTCACATGGAAAAACTTCTGATCCACGAAAAGCTGGTGAAATTCCTTGAATCGAGGATAAACTCAATGGTAAATCTTTGAGCGCTCTCAGCTTCTTTGAGAGGCTTTCGAAATTAGTAACAATTTGCCGATTGGCCTCTTCGCCTGTACCATAATCAGGAGTAGACACTTTCGAAGTCCAAAGAAACGAATCTAGTTGTGAGCCCGAAACCAATACAAATTTTCTGCTAATCTCTAGATGTTTGTTGAGAACCCATTTGATAATTTTACCAATAATTGCCCTTCTATCAGCGACAGTTTTTGACTCCCAATAGACAGTTTCACAAATTGCTCCTTCTTGGAATCTTCGTAATTCAGATTTGTCACCCCAAAACTTTTTAAACTCATCGGCAACTTGCTGATCAGCTGATGGACCTCTAATGATAGTTTCCAACATATGAGTTGGATCAAGAATCAATCCAATGTTGATGTTTTTAAAAGTCTTTGATATTGAAGGTCTTTTTTCATCGAGTGACCATTTCATTGCACCATAATTACGATATTCATGTTGAATTAGTTCAACACGATCACCAAGGCCTCGAGTCAACAGAGTAATCACTTGATTAATGAAAAATGGTGACATTTGACCACAATGATCTAAAATAACCTTTTGATTTGATTCGATTGCGAGACAAGTTTTTTTGATACATTCACCATTTATGCTAAATTGAGAAAAGAAAGAATAAAATTTCAAAATCTCAGATTAACATAATTATCGATAAGATTAATTCAATTCGTCAGTCAATCTACCTGATTATTATATCAAATCTTTCGTTGAAAAATGTAGGCTGTAACGCTTGGATTATGGAGCTACCATGGTCGGAATCTAATTTCTCCAGTGTTGTGGCTGCTTCGAGTTTAGCACCAAAATAAACATCTTTCGTAATCGAATAGCAGATATTGTAAATTCCAGAATTTTCAAGAAAAACCACATCGAAAGCGTTTTTGAAATCATCCAAACTGGAAGGTTTTTCATCCCCGAAGTAAATTGGATCCTCTGACCACTTGGATTCAGCTAACGAAAAACGAGAAATCGAACATTCAAAATTAGCAAAAAAAAAACTCATGCGAATTAAAATTACTTTCAGCCTAAAACACTTACAGAATTCAAGAAGAGTTTTACGGAAAAGTTGAATAAAGTTCATTTTCTCAGTCAATATTGATTTTTTCCTCAGGTAGACCATGAACAGGGTCAATGGAAATTCAAATAGATTAGAATAACCTTTACGAAGACACCAGGATTTAATTAGAATGACACATTTTCTGTAATCTTCTGAATCGATATTTTTCACAAGTAAATTGTGATTAGCGATCAGATTAAGATCATGAGTGATCAATGAATTGTAGAATGGTGTTGCCTCATATTTAGAATTATCTTTCTCATTCTCAGGTAAATTGTAATACCACTGAGGTCGAATGTTATTCTTAACAGGTAGAAATCTGTTCGGATTGAATGGTTTCTTAATTACGGGCAACAATCTAAACTTGAAATCTAACTTTTCACTTTTAGACTTTATCAGGATAACAGGTCTCATCGGATGTCCATCGTAGGTAAATTTGACCGATCTTACGAGATCAGGTCGATTGTCTCTCAGGTGAATACCAATCCATGTCATGTAATAAGCTCTTTTCCTGAGGTAACGTTGATTAAGATGATCTTTTGAATTCCAAAATTCCTCTGGCAATCTTAATACAATATCCACGGTTGGTTTACTGTTCAAAGTTGTCTTGTAACAATAAGAACCAACGAGAGATATTTTCTCAGGTGGAATAAATTGAAAATTTCCATCAACTTTCCATGGTTTCTCAAGAATTGGTGAACAAGATGAATTATTTTTACACCAATCAAACATATCATTCAAACAGATTAACTCGGACGTCGGAATTGAGTTAATGGCTTCCGCCAAATTGGTAAGGAAACTTTTAACTCGTTTACTTTGATAATCTGTTACACTAAGAGAATCAATAAAATCCATTTTTATTCCAATAATAATTAACAATCAAATGGACGAAAACAAAACAAAACAATTAACCAATTCAAAGAGATTCTCTCACATGTTTTCCATGTGATCCACATGCGAACCCAAAATCTTTCGATACTATCGAAGAGTCGATCCCAGGCAATCGATTAATTGATCGAAATGAATAATTGATTAGATTTTTTTTTCGAATTTTCAATTTAATTAAGTTAAATTTTCTTTTAAATATTAATGTTGACAATTATTTTCTATTCCCGATGAGTCCAAACTATCGAATCAACTGTTTGGTGAGAATAGAATTTTTTTGGTTAACAAGATTCGCGATTTTATTTTATCGTAAATGTACTGATCGAGTTTCGAAAACTTAGTTTTCTAATTACTCCAGTGATTAGTTTGTGGATTAATTATTCGAGAGAGTTGGATGTTTTTGCTCTTTCGATTCTATGATATTGGTTATATGGATCAAAAAGTTTCGAAGTTTCGATTTTTCTTTTTTTTTGTTCGATTTAAAGAAATGATCTTTTTAATTATTATTCATTATTAATAATTTATTCTTTAAGTCTCACTGATTTTTTTTCTGGGGATAAGAACGATAGAAGAGAGAAGAAGAAGATGGAAAGATGATAGAGTATACAAATCAATAGTAATTAATAAAATTAATGAATAAAAACAATTTCGAATGTGAGTTAACCATTTGGTGGTTGATTTTTGGTCAAGAAATGTGTCTAATTGTGAGTCAGTTTGTGATTTGTAAACAATTAAGAAAACAACTATTAGGATACAAGGGAAAATAATTGAATAATAAACAATTGAAATCACGATCACAATGATTAGCTCATTGTTGGAAAATTAAATAAATTAACAGTTGAAGAGACAGAATTAGAGAAGTGAGAGAGAGAGAGAGAGAGAGAGAGAGAGAGAGAGAGAGATAAAAGAGAGAAGAAAAAAATTATTGTCTTTGAATAGTAACAATCAACCCAAAGACGCTGTAATTAATTACTTGCAATGGTTTAACAATTAAAAAATCAGTGATAACAAAAAAGTTCATTAATTAACAGAGAGGGGAAAATTTTGTTCATTTTGTATTAATTAGGTTCGTTTCTTGGTTTGTTAACAGGTAAGTGTTCATTTCGTCTTCTTGTCTAATTGTTAGGCTAATTGTTGATCAAATTGTTGAACTTAAGATGAAAATTGAAGGAAAAATACAAATCGTAGCAATGGTTTGAATCTCTCCTCAATCTTTCAGCTATTAACTGAATCCTCTTCGATTCCTCATCATGATCAGTTGCTGTTGGTGATGATGATGATAAAAGATGAGGATAATAACCCAAAGATGAATCTTCGCTTACAAAGATTGAAGTAGAAAAAAAAATCGGACATGATCACCGAAATTCACTCCTCAGAATAGTAATTAACTTGGTTCCATGGACCCTGAACTCCTGGTAATTATAATTTCAACTGAATCCAAAATTCTGCAACAAAAGCAAACAATTAGTAAATCATTGGTACTCAATTCATTTCAAACTCACCTAAAGTTAAAAGATAATCAATTGCAGATGAAACAAGCTCACTAATTGTTATTATTGATTAATTATTTTTCGTATCAGATTTTCAGGGGAAGAAGAAACAAAAAAGAAGATGAAGTTTTTTGAAGATTCGAAAATGATCCTTAGTATAATTTGTATATTGTTGATAATTGTTGATTATAAAAAAAAGAAATGATTTCCATTATGTTGATGCTGTTCTTGGTCTTTATTTGGATATAATTTAGTTTTAAATTGTTGCAATTAACAGGCTCACAAATTGATTTGTGTTGATTTGGTTTGTGAAGACAAATTTAACCTTCCAAAAAAAACAGTTCAACAATTGTTGGTATTTGTTGTATATTTCATGTGTATATTTATATTATATTATAATCATCATAATAATAATTGTAATTGGTAATAATTAAGTAATAATGGTAATTAATTAGTTAATAATTAATTGTGTGTGTGTATATATGGCAAGGTGATGATGGGATCGTTGATAATTAAATTGTCAATGAGTGAGTTTTGTGATGTTTGTAATAAATTTTGTTTCTTGTGTTGTGTATATTTAATCAATTGAGTGAATTAATTGTTGTAATTGTATTAAATTAAATTAACGATTGTGTGTTGTTGTTTAAATGTATATTTAGTGTGCGGTTGATGGTTAAGATGATGATGGTGATGGAGAGATGATGGTAATTAAACTAATTAAGATCGCTGTAGTTCATAATCAATTTCAACGAGAAACGGATTGATTATGATTTTAAATTTTTGACCAAAGACAATTAACAGAAATCAATTGATTGTTAAACTTAATCACGGTAACAAATTGAATGAAGAAAAAAGTAAAACATTTCAGCCGTAAGGAGAGGTAATGTTAATCCACTGCAAATTAATCCATTAGTTTCCATGAGAATTTGTTGATCAATTGAAAACAATTAAAATCAATTGTTTAATTGTGATCAACACATTGATTGGAAGGTAAACTTTTTTTTTTGTTTTTCTTTGCCAAAATTAAACGGAAAAGGAATCAACATAATCCATAATCAGAACCAGAATCGCAGAGAAAGAGAGAAGGAGAGAGATTGAGAGTTACAAAGTTACGAAGGACGAAAAAAGTTTGTTGTTGTTTATCCGTTTAATCCTTAATCAATCAGCGATCATTAACCATTGCCAGTCAATCACAATGATAACAATTAAGAATAATAATAATACAGATCAAGCTGTGCTTCCTTTACGACTTGATGTAGGTAATTGAGCCAATTTACGGTACATATTAGAGTTTATAAAACGCGGATAAGAATCTCGGTGCATTAATGTGTATATTTGCAACTGTGCCTCGTCGAAAGTATGAGGACTTGGATTAACCATATTCTTATTAATTATTTCACGAACTCGAGAATCAAGGCTAACCTGTAATTGGAAAATAAGAGAAATCAAAGTTACTCTTTGTATTAGAGAGAAAATATTTCCCATTAATTAATCGTAATAATTACAGTTAGTTGAACTGTACAGAGAGAGAGAGAGAGAAAGGGAAAAGAAGATGCAAAAAAATTAGGAAATCAGGTCAATCCTATAGAAAATTATATCTTCATCTTTTTCATCATTATCATTATCATCCTTTTGTTTTATATCATTGACTCAAATTATAATAACAAAGATGGTTCATTAAAATATTGTCTACGAGTTAAAATTAACACATAATCATAATTAAAGTGATAAAAGTTACAAAGTAATAACCATGGTAACGGTTAGGTAAACATTTTCATTTATCATTTCAAGTTAATTGTTAATCAGTTGAATAATTAAAATTTAACTTGTAACAACATAATGTTGATTGTTCATTTCAAACAGTTGATTAATCATTCATTATGATAATTCAAACAATTAGCTGTTTATAATAGTTGAATCAGTCTATCTCATTGAATATGTCAATTGACACTCCAAGGCAAATATTACATTGGATTTTTTGTTTTTCTTTCTGATAATATGAAATTATCATGATGAAAAACAGGATGAGAAGGTGGAAGTGGCAAAATCAGGCTGAACCTCTGAACTTTGAGTGGGATTTGATAAAACTCAGGTAAAAACAGATACAGAATATGGTTAATATCAAAAGTAATTACATTTCGTGATCAACATGTGAATTGAACAATTTTTTTCACATATTCCCATCTTGATTACAATCAACGGTAAAAAACAACAACAACAATTTAGTTAAATGTCTATTATCAACATTAAGAGATGTGAAAAAATTAATTATATCTTCATGTGATTAATTTTGATGGTGAAATAAACAATTTCATAACAATTATATTAATCATTTTACTTTTTATACAATTAAATTGCCTTGATTGTTGATTGAATATACAAGTTTTTCCTATTGATAGATATTAAATTCAATCAATAACTGATATTATTAATATTAGATTTCCAACCTCAATTGATGAAAAAAACTTTATTATTAAAAATAGTAACTTAAAAATTGTAAACTGTAAACAATTAGATGAATACTAATCATGAAAATTTGACAACAATTAAGTTGTAAAAGTTTCATTTGATGACAAGAAAACAATGTAATATATTAATAATAAACTTCAATGATAATTAAATTTACTGTGAACGTAAATCATTTTAATCAACTCTGGTAATAATAATAACATGAGCAAAGTTAATTAACTAGAATAATATGATTGATCTAATTACAACTAATTGGAGACAATTAAGATACCAAATTAAAGGAACGCAATGAAAACAAATAAGGAAAAACGTACAACAATTTACATGTTAATCTAATATTTAAAATTTCATGTAATTTTTCAATGGGAACAAATTTACAGAAAAAAAAACAACTACAGTTGATTATCATCATTACGCAAGAATAATGATAGTTTACTATCATTATCATCCTCATCTTCATCCTTGAACCACACACATATTCATGAAGATAATCATCAAGATGAATTTTGGAAAGTGAGGTGAACTCCCAATTCCCTTGAGCAATCATTTAAATTGGTTCGTTGGTGAAGACAACAATCAACGAAGAATGAAAAACATCCATAAAACAGTTAAACCATTTCATCAAATTCTCTATTTTTAAGTAATCATCTTTACCTCCCATGTTCTCACCTTTATCCTCATCATGATCATCTTTAACCTTAATTGACCCGAACATTAAACCCAACGAAATGAGTTTAATTTTCAATTCAACCAGCAATTCAAATCTAATGGTGAATTACTGATTCATCTCATTTCCGTAATCATGAAATTACATTTTCAATCTACTCTTACTTTTTTTTCATTCTTGCAAAAAGTTTTGTTGACATTCATTGGCAAAGATGATGATGTTCAAGACGATGATTAATAATGACTATTAATAATGAGTTAATGATGATAACAATGAAATTAGCCTGAAAAATATCATCAAGAGAGAGAGAGAGAGAGAGAGAGAGAGAGATAAAAAAGTCAACACAGAAGCCAAACCTTTCGAAAGCTATTAGTTCAATCTAATATAAAATAACACACGAAAAAAGCGTCGACTCATTTCTCATATAAGTGAAGTAACTGACTGATAACCTGAGCACTGGTTGCTATGGTTACTTAGTTTCATCACCAGAGAATCTGAGAAAGTCTTTGCCATAATAAAAATAAATGAATTTACCATAACCTGTAATAGTAAACAAATCAAGTTTCAAGAAAAGGCGACAAGGTAAAAATAAGTATAATTTAAACAACAGGTAACAAAGACACTGTCAGATTAACATAAACAGTAAATGTTAATCCATCATTATAATGATTAGTTTTTTTCTTTCACCCAAAATTTAAAACTCAAATTCAAATTTGCATCACCATTTAATTCAATTTCATGATGGAAAATAATTTTCAATGAGAAAAAAAGCTCAACATTCAAATTAATGAAACTTATAATCATAATCATTTTCATAGAAAGAGAAAAAAACAAAGTACATTTTAATTAAACTCTCAACACGAAAATAGACTTAATTATTTAAGAAAGTTTTGTGAATTAATCTTATAGAATCAAAACAATGATTAACTAACTGTTAACTAATATAACAATCAACGTGATTTGATCAGTTGGGAATTCCAAATAAATTTGTTGTTTCCAATGAGAGCTTCGTAATTTGATTGCTCGAGGGTAAATTTCAAGTGTAGATTTGATTTTTAATTGTCAAACAGATAATTGTTTCCAATTCTCAACGGATTTGACATAATCACATGAATTCATCTCATCATCACCAGCAAATAGTCAATTATAGTAATAAGATTGTTGTGAAAATCAAAATTCAGCCTAAGGGTAACATTGCTTTCTACTATAATAGTTGTTATGATAATCAACGACAGAAAAACAACAATTAAAAGTAATTTTAATCAGAGTAAAGGAGCTGTTTAAAAAGCAATCGATGTCAAGTGTTAATAGATTAAAATCATTTATAGTGAGTGAATGAGAGAGAGAGAGAGATAGAGAGAGAGAGAGAGAGTTTGAAAGGTATCCTCATGAATATTGGCTTGATTATGATACTAGTCAAGTTAATCAACTACTATTAGTAGTTAATTGTCAATGGTTAATAGTAAATCTTTTGTGCCACCGTTGAAGGGTTTCTGGTTCATTGGGTGTTACCATTTTAAAAGGTTTCCCAATCATGATGATTGAACATCCTCATGATAATCACATGGAACAGACATTAATCATATTCACAGGATTTGATTACAATGATTAACAAATTCAATTGTATGAGCCAATCGATAAACAAGAAGATGGATGAGAGAGAGAGAAGATTAGACCTTTTCTTTTTCACTTATTGTTCCAGTTGCGATGATTCATTCACTCAAGAATATATCCTGAATTTACCCTGAGGGTAAAATAAAAGTAACAGTAAAAACAATCAAAAATGATTATAACAATAATACAAGTTGATGTGATTAAACCTTTTCTGACAGCAATAGTTTATTATTATTATTGTTTTGATTGAAATTATCGTTATTATTAAATAAATCACTTGTGAAAACTGCTAATAATCATTATATTGACATTGATACAGCAATTAAAGGTAAATGATAAGTTGATTGTTAAGGTTGACTGATGCAATTTGATTGATAAATTGTTGTAAAAACTAAGTTATCAACATGATTAAAGGGATTTGTGATAAATACTTTTGATCAATCAAAATATTGAAGAAACAAAAATAGAAGTAACAATTTTTCATTGAACCAATCAGACAAAATCAAATTGAGATAATCAAAGTTGATATTAAAAAAGTGATCAAATTTATTATGATAATTTTTGTTCCATTCGTTTCTGATTAACTTAATTGCTTTGGTTTGTAAATTATTATACTACATTTGACATCTAAACAAATACAATTTCCTAATAGTAAACAGCAAACAAGTGAATTTATTTCTGTCACCACTACAAAATCTTCCTATTTCTCAACATTATCGTCTTTATTTATCTCATTATCTGAGCTTTCATGAACTCTGGACAATATTTGATAAAAAAACACACAAACATCATGACACTGAGAGTATTAGTCAAACATCAAACATTAAGCAAAGAGCACAGGTTTATTTTTCCTTTTTACTTCATCTTCTTCATTTTCATCACTCTCCCTGATTCAACTCTTTAATGATCTTCTCCTCATCTTCATCTTCATCATTATCATTCGTCTTCCCATGTATTTGATACCTTTTTCTTCTTTATTCTCTCTCAGTCTCTTCTCTGAATCTGGGTTATCAATGCGAAAGAGTTGAGCATGAACGTCAGCAATTCAGTCTCAACAAATCTTTCGAATTGATGAAAATGTTGATAGAGAAAGAGAGAGAGAGAGAGAGAGATTATACCGATGCTTCTGAAAGATGATAACAAAAATGATGATGAAAGAAAAGCGTGGTAACAGTAGATGTCACGCCTTCACAGTGGATAAAAAGCCTGAGGCATTTCTATGGTAAATAGAAAATAAGAAAACCCTGAGTCAAGAATCTTTTTTACTCTTCCTAATCTCCAATTTCTTTTCAATATTATTCTCATTTCTTGGAATCAACTTTTCAACCTCAAAATCCTTTTTATCTCAATCGTATTTTCGTCCATACTCTTCTTCTTTCCTCTTTCTTTTTATCTTAATCTTCTATTGTCCAAAGTGCAAAGGGTAAAAAGATGGACTCACTCGTAAAAAGTATTGCAAGGATAACAGTAAATCTTAAGTTGGACAGGAAAAAAAACGATTTTCAATGAGACGAATCAAAAAAGTAACTTCTTAATGAATGAATTGTATGAGATGAAAAGAAGACAGGAGGAGATGATGACGATGCTGAAGAGGATGTCGAAGTAAACTGAAAGGACACCAAAATATAGAAGTCGAATTTTATCAATGAACTTTCAGTTATCGTTATAAACTCCGGGCATCCGATGTCTCTCAATTTTTTTCATCTTTCTTTCAATTGTAAAATCTATTTTCGTGATAAAAGAGATAATATGAACTCAGGAGAAAGATAAGCCTCAGAATGAGGCAAAAGGAAGGAAGAAATTTCCAAGAAAAAAATAGAAGATCGAATGGAAACATTGATAAATTTTCTTTTCTTTTTCCATCATCATCTTATTCTTATGTTATCTCATCTTCCGTTTCTTCGTCTTTATCTACATTTGGTTGAACAAGTCATTCTCATAATCATCATGTTGTTATTCCTGAGACAGATTCCCTGGTGAAAATAAAATGAAACCAGAAGATAGAGAGATACAAGTAGAAAAAGTGAATCGATATTTTTGGATTTTCTTTTTTTCTCTCGATACTTGTAATAGTTACCTTTTCAACTTCAGTTCGAACCTGAGAGATGGAAAGAGAATCATGAAACTAGAACGAAATGAAATAATAACAATAGTAATAATAAACTATCTCCCACCAGCAACAGGGAGGTAGAATATCTGTTTCCCATCAATTTCATTTGAGAAGTAAAAAAAGGTTACCTAATGAATACTGGAATTTTATCATCAGAATTTTTCTCTCTGTGAAAAAAATGGTTGGTATAATTTTTGTTTCTATCTCAGTTAGTGGACACAATTCATGATGATGATAATGATGATGATCAGGAAGATGAGAGAGAAATACTTTGAACGGTATAATATAAAAATAATAACATAAAATAGTCGATAAAATAATTTGATAGATTCTCTTGGAATGGATTTTTACCTTTCTCTCTCTCTCTCTTCCTGATCATGTATCTGATAATTCAATTTCAAATGAGAGCATCAAGATGACAGATACAAGGGAGATAAATGAGAATCATCATGAAAAAAACATGATAACAATTGAAAAGATACTTGAAAAATTGGTAAGGAAAAAAATAAACTAGAAATAATGAAAATGTTAATCATTTGATGATTAAATAGAAAAACTCGTTCAAACTTAATTGTAATTACAAAATATTGCTAATCTCAATTGTTCCAAATATTTGATTAGTTATGAATTACTGTCCATGAAATTGATCATTATCATGATATTATCATTGAATATTATGAAGGATTCACTTATATTATTATTACTTTTTCTAATCTGTCAGTAATTTTTTGTTTCATAATTTAGCTAATCAAGGATCAAATTGCGACAATTAACTTACATTTAACCATTTGGTTAATTTGATAGCAAGTTGACAAAAATTGAATTATCGTTCGTTTAGCAATTAGATTGCACAGTTAATCATGTCATCGTTAATTGCAATGAAACAAGTCATTTATGATTGAGAAAATTATATATTTCATAATTCATAAAGAAATCAACGAGTCCCATGAATTACGGAAGTTTTTCATTTAAGAAATTGAATAAAATGTAACTAAATTGTCATCATCAATAAATAATAATAACAATTGAGACTCGAGTACATTATCTCAGCTAATTAATTATGTGATCAATTAATCAAGTTATCAAGTTATGAGTTGAAAAGGTAATGTACTAATTTTGTATCTTACTTTCATGATAATATTGATTGATGAATAAAATGTAACCATAATCATCAGTTAAATTATATTGATCAATATCTTAAATTGCGTGACTTGAACATCACAATTGAAAATAATATAAAATGTTTTCGTATATTAAAGTGATAAGAATACAGAATATCAATGAGAGATAAATTCAGAGAGAGAGAGAGAGAGAACAGATTTTTCTTATTCTTATTTACAATCATCTAGATGTTCATCTTTATCCTGAACATTATCATCGTTTCAAGATAATAAAAATCTGAACAAGAAGAAAATTCTGAGTGAAAATTTCTTTCCTTAAGAGAAGAGAGAGAGAAAAAAATTGCCAGAATTTAATAGGTCAAGTTATTCAGTACATTAAGTTTTCAATACTTGTGAATTCAGTTCAGTTAAGAGAGAGAGAGAGAGAGAGATTTCTCATGAAAAAGACGAGAAAACAAAAAAATCTCATTGTAAATTGAATAAGAAACGATAAGTTCCAAGCATTTAAGTTGATCATCATCAGAACTGTCTGACCAAACAAAGGATCAAATTAACTGGACGGAAAAGGTTAATCAACAATCAATAAGAAAATACAATCAAAGACTAACCAACAAGAATCAAATGATAATCATGGTGAAAGCATATTTCATCCTGATCATTGAATGATTAACAGCCATTTTTGGTGTTATAATCATTAGAATTATCAACAATCAACAAAGTTACTGAAAAACTTATCACGATAAAAAGAGGAACTAGGAAGAGGAGGAGAAATTCAATCAAAGTTATCATAAAAATTTTTCTCTTCTTTTTCATGAGATACCATGTTTCTCAATAAATAATCACTATTATCATGATACCTCAAAGACGATCAAAGGACAATTATAATAAATGAGTAATAGTAATAACATTATACTATTAATATAAAGAAAATCATCATTATATTAATATATAAATGTTAACAATGCTAATGGTTTCCATCCTCAGTACAATACGAATCAAAGTAAATCTGTATTAGTGACAATTGATAATAACATGGTGACAATGATGATGTTAATGATGATGATGATGATCAAGAAAATATGAAAAAACATCAATAACTGATACATTTTGTGTCTACAAACATTTGATAAAAAGCTTATTCTGTTATCAATAGTGATAAGTATTATATACATTATCTCTGGGAGGAAGGGATGATGATGGCGATTCTCTTGCTGGGACTTACCTCTTTTGGAGATAATATTGAAATATAATCTTCATAGATTATTCGAGCCTTTTCCTCAATTACTTCCGGGTTAGATTCGTTCTTAAGGTCTTCACATGCTAACCAGAAAAGTATATTCTCTTCACTGTATTCACATTTCAAGAAATCACGAAAAACTTTACGACCCCCTGGAAGATAAAAAAGAGAAACATGATGAGAAGTGGTGAATATTATTCTCTCTCTCTCTCACACACACACAGACACAAACACACAATAGTTAATTGTAGTTGATGAAATTGATCTTGTTTTGGGAGGTGAGTAAGGGAAGGATAAATTAGTTGATCAAGATGAAGTTCATTGTGTAACTTTTTCTCATTGTTATTTATCATTCATCTTCATATTGATTATCATCCTCATTTGTATTCTTATCGATTAAGAGAAGATGAGAAATGAAATTAAAAAAGGAAGAAGATGAGGAAAAAGATCATGATTATAATTTGGATGAGAGACAAAGTTAAGTTGGAAGAGAGAGGAAAAGTTTCAATTCTTTCCAGTCGCTGTTCTTTTTTTTACTCTCAACGAGAAACTTACATGGACATTTCATTAGTTTATCGAAAGACTCTGACCATAACCTCATTTCCTCTATAGATGGCCTAGAAAAAAAAAGAAGAAAGAAAATAAGTTGAAGATGGTCAAGATGAAGAGAAAAAGGGGAAAGTGGCCAAAATGAAATGAACGAAGAAATCGAACATTTTGTTTGACTTTTATTCTTATTTACCCTGAAGGGTTTACTAAATCAATCAAAAGTTAACATGGAAAACTTGATTGAGTGTAATCATTAAAATCATAATTCGTAACCATGATTAATATAATATCATGAGATGACGAAAAATGATCATTATTGCGAAAGAGGTGTTATGTTCAAGTAAACAATTCCAAATGAGATGATCTTCATTTAGAATTAGTGATATTTTCATATAAACGGAAATACTTACGGATCACTATTTCCATTGAAATAATGTTCTAACGATGTGGAAGGTTGAATTCGAGTGTTTTCCTTACCAGTTTTGTTTTGATTTTTACCCGGCAGGCTGAAAGAAAAAGGAAATAATTAACTAATTGTAATCATCAAATTAGAAAGGACAATCAACATTTTGAATGGGCTAGAAAATGATTGTGGAAAACAAATGAATCATATTATAGATTTTGAGAGTAAAAGTAAACAAATTGCTATCGATTCGTTTGCTGCAAACTGATAGCAATTTGATTAAGAGTTTTTAACTTTTTGATTGCTAATTTAATGCTGATGATGATGATTTTAATCATGTTGATGGATAAAATTGTTGGAAAAAAGTAACCAAGTTGATTGCTGGATATGCATATGAACAATAATCTCAATCTGTTATGATACTGTTTTTTACGAGAGATTCAGGTAATATTTTATCATGGATGAAAAAATGAGCTTAATTTATTCACATAAATCACGGTTGAGGTGGTAAATGGGAAAAGGTTATTGCATAATAATAAATAGAAGGAGTGGAAATGATGGGATAAAATGGAGAGAGAGACCGAGAGAGTCAGTAAAAGATGAATGGCAAAATAAGATGGGGAAAGAAAAGTCCTAGTGAGTTATTTGTGACTACTGAAAATCAACACATCAGCATCAAGAGGATGATAAACTTCAGCTTGATAACTATCGTCATTTGTTCAGGGGGAAATTACATCAATTTCATGAGGAGAAAAAAATATTTATACTCATCAAGTTTTGTTTTTGTTTTTTATACTATGTGGATATGCATTCAATTTGTAATATGTGCAGTGGGTATGAGATATTGAGGAGGAAGAGGAGGGAGAGGAGGTGGTGTAGGTGGATGAGGAGGTGGGAGTGGGTGGAGATGCAAAGGAGAACATGAAAAGAGAGAGAGAGGGGAAACTGTTTCTAGTAGATTTTCAAGATTCTGGGTCAAATATCGATTTTTGTTCCACCCTCTTTTCTTGTCATAAGGTAGCCATTTAGCGTCAATAAATGAATGAAAAAAAGTTCTAAATTACAACTTTTTCGAACTAAATCAAATTCTAAAATTACGATCAACTATTCGATTTAAATTAAATAAAACACTTTAGTTGATTTTCTTGGGGAAAACTGAAGAACCCGAAAAAGTAAAAATGTCAACATTACTTATTGATGCTCCTGATAATTATTAATATAACTATAAATTAACAATAATAGATGATAATTTATAGTCACTGAGTGTTATGAATAGTGAATCATAAGTTTCTAATTGGGATTGTGGTCATGATTAATAATTGAATTACTAATTAGAGTGAAATGTTCACTTACCAGGAGCATGAACAACAACAACACCAACAGAAACAACAAGATTTACGATCATGGGCACCAGATTGTTGTTGTGACTGTTGATTCGTTGTTGTCGTTGTTGATGTGGGTGGGGTTGTCCCACCATTCTCAATACTATTATTATTATTATTATTATTATTGGCACTATTTACACACGTTCCCGATTGAATATTGGAATCACCTGAGTTACCTGAGACACTATCACTTGTAACACCAAGTTTAGATGGTTCCTCTTTCAGTGCATTTTTATCCTTCTTTTTACTTCCTTTTCGTGATGATTTACGCCATTTACTTCCGGTGTCACAATTTCCTGAACTTGAGCCATTCACGTTATTCTCATCAACATCTTTCCTCTTTGATTCACTTGATCCACTTCCGGAACCGCAAAACAATTTGGTACAATTTGATCGTTCGTTATTATTATTATTATTAGCAGAATTATTATTGGTTGTGTTAACATTATTATTATTATTACTGAATGAGGAACGAGGTGATGGTGATGATGATGAAGATGATGATGTTGTTGTTGTTGTTGTTGGTGTTGTTGTTTGTTGTGAGGTAAGATGATGTTGTTGCTTATGAGATGTTGATGGTGCTGTGATTGTGGTGTTTGTTTTTGATTTGCTATTATTATTACTAGTGGTAGGGAATTTACTACTATTGATTTGATTAGTTCTTTCATTTTTATCCTTTTCATTTCTACCACTGTTTCCTCTTCCTCCTCCTCCTCCACCATCACCTTCATCACTTTTTTCACAACATGGTTCTGATGATGAGGCTGAGCATAGTGTTGATGTATTTCCTCCGGTGGTGATGGTGATGGTTGATGTAGTTGTGGTTGTGGTTGGTGGTAGTGGTGTTGATGGATGTGGCTGAGTTTTATCACTGTCGTCGCTTTTACTTGTTGTTCCTTGCTGAGGTTTAATTGTTGTTTTCGTTTCTTTCTTGTTATCTTTTCCATTGCCTTGAGTGTTTCCAGCGTTTTTGGATAATTTCTCTTCCTTAACTCCTTCATGTTTGGCTGTTGGCATCTGATTAATCCAATAAATTATTATTCCAAATGAATAACATTCACATCCAAAGGTTTTAAGATTGTGTAGCCAAATAATAATCCATTAAGGAGAAAGATAGAGAGAGAGAGAAATGTAAATATTCATTCAGGTTTCCATTGGAATCAGCAAACAATAGATCACAATTGAGGTTCCACAATATGAAGAGAGGGATAGTTATCACCATGGAGAAAACATGAAAAAAAAGAGAAATGAGAATGAATTTAATGAATAACAATAAGCTTCATGGTTATGGTTACAATTAGAATTTTATAATTTGTAAGCAAACAAGAGGGAAAAATCATTTGATTGCCAACAGAATGACCAAGAAAAATGTAATTAGGAACAAAATAAAAACAATTAATCTTATTTGATGTCCAAATGTCAAGTAAGAAACAAAAATTTACCCACAGCAAAAAAAGTAAGACACATAAAAATGAGATGAATTGATTATATTGAGATGTAAATAACTGATACCTGGTATATATTATATATACCAGGTATTAATTAGATTGCTCAGGATTTGATTGAATGAATGAGAGAGAAAAAATAATCAATGATCATCGATCATCAATTTACACCGAGAAAAAAAATACATTGAGAAAATAAGTTCATGTACATAGATGAACAGGTAACATGAACGATGGATAATCAACAAAAGGCATCGATACACAAGTTGTCATCCAACAACAATTAAATTTGATTACGATGATGAAAAGCACATTAGGTAATCAGTTAAAATTAATAAACAAAAAACATAAATCATAATAATCAATCTCTCTATTAGATTAATGTTTGAATTGGATTGGAAAAAGAAACTCAATCATGTTGAGGAAAGAAAAATATTAAACCAATACAAAAGGAAAAAAGAGATTCACTTGGAATTGGAAACTGATTAATTTAGTTCTTCTATTCTCTCAACTTTGATTACATTGTGGAGAACAAGAAATTAGAAATTAATAAAGAGAATTTAGAAGGACACAAATGTTAATTAACACAATTAATTCTAAATTGGATAAGAGGTTTATCTTTGATTACGAATGGAAAACAAGACAAGAAGAAAATCCCGCCTTATCTTCCGCTTTAATCTTCCAACTGATTTTTTGTTTTCTATTCTCTTTCACCTTTGACTCATTTGGAGAAGAGAACAAAAAATTAATCCATTTTTTCCTTATGATAATTTAATGTTTTTCTACATTTCGGTTAATCCTTTTTTGTTTTATATTCTCCATTTAAATATTCATGTGGCTTCTGTTAATTATCGCTGGTTAATTAGTTAACCTGCTTTTCTCTTTCACCGAGTTTTTGGATTACCAATGAAAGAATAGATCAAATAACTGAAAAGGTAAATTGTTCTTCTCTCTTTTTTTCTGTTGATTGTATTAACTTATTTCTTTTTCTATTTTGTTGTTTTTCTTTTCTAATCACTGATTTTCTAATTCTTTTCTAACCCTTTAGGTCTTCATGGTGTTTTTTTTTCTTTCTTCTTCTTCTTCTTTTTCGTCTCAGTGTAATCAATGAGTTGATTTTGTGTCGAGATTTGAGATTGTAAAAGGTAAAGAAAAGTATTCTGGATAAACAATCAAAGGTTTCAAATTGTGTGGAATTGGATATTATATGGTTATCATCATGGAAACATATATATATATAAGGAACATTCAAAGAACTTGGATTTTCATGATTAAAAGGAGAAGAGATTTTTGTTCAAATTAAGGAAAAGAAAAAGATGAGAACAGAGAAATAAGGAGAGAGAGAAAAGGAAGAAGATGTTGAAAAATTTATCATCAATCATCTTGTTGGTGTTTCGTTTGTTACTTACCTTGTTTTATTATCACCATACATGAATCATTAATGGTCTTTAATTGAAACAATACAACCATCACAATTTATGAATCTTGTAGTAGTCAAAATATCATCACTGAAAACACTGGGTATCAATGAAAATGCGGACATTTTCCTTCTTCCAATTTGATTTCCACACTTACACACACACTTACACTTACACTCTCACACACATTCACTCTCATCTTTTTCTCTCTCACTCTCTTTCTTCATTTATCACTCTTTCTCTCCATCTCTGTCTATTCTTTCCTTCTCACCCACAACCTTAGATACCATATACTCACTTGATCAATACTATTGATCAACAAAACCAAAATTTCAACTCTCTTTCTCCATCTCTTTCTTTTCTCTCTGTCTTCTTTTCCTCCATGTACTCTGTGCCTTACCTTTCGCATTCTCCCCTCTTTTCATTACTCACACACACTTAACAATGAAACGCATGATCCATAGTATTCATCTTCATCACCAACCTAATCATCATCACAACAGTCATGTTACTCCAACGCAACTCCATGAAGGAACCAGAAAAAATAGAAAGAGAAACCCGGAGGGAAAATAACTACCAAAAGCAAGAGTTTCATGAAAAGACAGACGAATAGACAGACAAAATAGTTTCCTGTGGCTAAGCAACAAAAAGATTCTCTTTTCCTTTTCTCTCTCTCTCTCTTATTTATTGTATACATTATTTCTTGACTCATCAATAGGTTGAACTTCCTCTTCCCAACGTTCATGAATTTGTGAACAGAATCCTCGACGTATACGAAGTGAAAACTTGAATCAAATGAAGAAAAGGAAAAGGATGGAACGGAAACAAATGAAGGTGTTTAAACTTCCATTCTGGAACAACAATTATTGCTCATAAATTGACCATGGAAGATCCGATTATCTCTTCATAATTAAGATATTTAACCTTATTCATGAATACGAAGGAAAAATCAGTGAACAAGCAGAAAGAGAAAGAGAGGGAAACAACAAAAAACTACAGAGATTCCAAAGCTATCAAGTGATTGAAAGAGAGAAAGAGGTAACGAAGAGAGGAGAGAAAAAATGAAAAAAGAAAGAGAGGTCACAGTCTCTCATCTCTTTCTCTTCTTCAAGACTTGCTCCCTTCCTCTCTCTCTCTCTCTCTCTCATCTCATCTCATCTCATATCCAAGGAAATAGAGACGAAAGATGAAAGAATTGAAATGGGAGAAAAAAAGAGTAAACTACAACACGAAAACTCTCGAGGTTGATGAGAGTGAATCAGAAATTCATTCATTGAGAGTTTACATCTATTCTCAACACTTGACGCTTTTCACAACATTCTAATTCTCTTACAATCATCAATTCGTATCAAAACACCGCGGAGCTAATATAGTGTTTTTTTTTCTTTCCCTTTCAGATTATTATTACTTCAATTTGCCTCGAGAATTGGAATTGATTTGAACTTTTTTTCTTCCTTTTATCTTCATTATTCATTGGAATATCAATCAAAGTTACGTCGAAGAAAAAAACAAAACAAAAATAAGAGCGAAAATTTTTCCATTTCCAAAAATGAGCCAATGAAATTGAAATTGAATATTAGGAAAGGAAAAAATTAGATTGACCTAAGGTGATTAATTTGGTTTACTATCTGTAAATTGTTGGAATAACATTTTCTTCAGGCAACGATACATGAGAAGAAGAAGATAATTGTAAAGAGAAAAATACTTTGATTATTTTATCGGAAAAAGAGAAAGTGATGATTATTTAAATCGTGAGTATAATTGATTAATATGAAATTGGAGCAACTTCATTTGGAGTTGATTGTCCCTGTTGTTGTTGTCCAGTTGGAGGTATAACGAATGGACTACATTCTTCACCTGAACCATCATCATCGGGACAGGTACAAGTTCGTGATCTTGGTCCTGAGGGTAGACAAAGGAACTTACATCCTCCATTACGAACTCGACATTGATTACCCATCGCTGGACATGCTTCGGACATTCCCGTTAATCCATGAAGTCGACCGTTCGATCCCTTGGGAATCATCAACGTTTCCTCTTTACCTCCATTTATACCAACTCGATGAACATTATTCCTTTTTAAAGATAATCAAATAGTTTGACAATTAGAATTTGTTCTCATATTTATAAAAGTTGATAACTTTTCTCTCAACAATCTGAATTAACTTTGGATACTTGCTCCATCTATGGAAAGGAGTAAGTAAATGATCATCAGAAACAAAATCTAATCGAAAATTTAATTCTTTTTTTCTCTTCTTTCAATCGAATAGTTAAATTGCGATTTTTAATTATATGATTTACTTACGTTTCCCAATCAGTCCAAAAGATGTAATTATCAACCACCGCTAAGTCAAATGGATAACCTGTTGTGAAGGTATGAACAAGACGACGTTTGGATCCATAAAGGTCAATACATTCAATCCGTTTGGCACCAGCGTCTGTCCAACAAAGCTCATTGGTCGTGTAATCAATGGCCAACATATTGGGTAAACCTATGCCCTCCGAAACTAGAACTTGTCTATTGGTTCCATCCATATTTGCCATCTCAATTTTAGGCGCTGCTCTATTCCAATCAGTGAAATACATTTTACCCAGTCCAGGATGAAGAGCGATTCCTCTTGGATTAGTGAGCCCATCGCTGATCAGAGTTTTGACAAATGACCCGTTAAGCCGTGAAACTTGAATTGTCTTTTTAAGCGAATCGGTCCAGTAGATGTTACGACTTATCCAGTCAATTGCCAGGCCTTCGGGTGATGATAGACCGGAGACAATTGTTGTATCGTGGGTTGAATTGAGACCAGCCTTGGAAATGGCCTTATCAATCAGATCGGTATAATATAAAGATCCTTTCAAACAATCAAATGCAATTCCAACCGGTAGATTATTGTTCAAGACGAAAAGGAGTTCACCTTGACGACCGGGCGATGTTGGTAATCGGGCGAAAGACATTCCTTGGGTGGCAATTAAATAAGGTCCATCATAACGATTACTTGGAAGACAATCAAGTCCATCACCTGCGAATCCATTGTTACATTTACATTGATAAGCTCGAGTTGTTGGTGAAAAGACACATTCAGCATCTCGATGACATTGGTAAGGATTTTCTCGGCATGATGATGAGGGAACGCAAGTGTAACCGTCACCGGAATAACCTGCCCGACATGTACACCGATAACCCAATTCAATTGGATTATAATTACAATCAGCTTTAGACCCACAGGTATTTAAAACGTTACATGGAACCTGAATTGATTCACAATTTTTACCATCACCTTTGAAACCTTTGTTACATGCACATTTGAATTGTCTCTCATCTAAATTAAATTTACAGGTTGCATCAGAATGACAATTTTTAACCAAATTACATGGAGCCTTATCATTGGAGACACAATTATTTTCAATCATAACGAAACCCTGAATACAAGTACATTTACCACCATCAACGATTTCCGGAAGAGGATCACATTTTGCCGAAGCTGGACAATCAGTGTCCATTTTACAATCGGAAATTATTGTACATGTTTTACCATCTCCCGTGTAGCCTTCATTGCATATACATTTGGTTTCACCATTAGGCAGGTCACTACAAACAGCGTTAGTGTCACAAATTTTACTGGTGAAACAATTTTCCGTTACTCTGGGTCCAGCTGATTAAGAGTTAAACATTTTATATAATAATTAACGAATGGTTTACTTATTGCTTCGTTTATCACAATCGTAATACTTACTTGATCTAATGCATGTGAATCCATCGCCATAATAGCCTTGCTTACAAACACAATAACCAACTCCAGCCTCCGAATAGCCCGTTTTACATTGGCCATTTTCACCACAATTAGCGTCACTTGAGCAAACTTTACCTGCTGATTCACAGACTAACCCGTTACCTGTGAATCCTGGATTACAAACACAACTGTACTCTTTAGTTACAGGATGAATAGCACAATTGGCATTTCGATCACATTGAAGGCCTAATGGACATGAATTACCGGATCCAGGTTGACCTAAAATTGATCGGCAAACTATTCCGTTTCCACTGTAACCAGGTTGACAAATACATCGCTTTGAACCATCAGCATTTGGTAAACAATCAGCATTAGGGTCACAGAATTTATCCCCACACATTGAATCTAATTACGGACAAAAAACCATTCAAATTGATCAATAATCGATGCTGATAGTCTAACTAAGGTTCTAAAGTTTTCTAACCTTTACTACGGCATCTGTAACCATCTCCAACGAAACCCTCATTACAGATACATCGATAACTTCCTGGTTGGTTTACACAATTAGCGTCTTTGTGACATCGAGATTGATTTGTTGTACATTCATTTATATCTATGAAGGAAAAAAAAGGTTCAACTTAAGTGCTGTTCGAACTCAGAAAGTTGCAGTTTTCATCCCCGAAATCTTACCCACACACATGGCTCGAATACTATTTGGATCAGACTCGCTGTTACTCTGGAAGCCTGGATTACAAACACATCGATACCTTTCTCCGTCCACAACACAGCGACTATCGGGCCCACAAACGGCAGTTTCAGCCTTACATGGATTGTCAACTGAAAGAGAAAAGGCAAAATTCAAGTCATTCGTTAAGTTAATTGCCTTTAGATTTACTTACTTGGTGGAACAACAGAATACTCAGCAGTGAATCGAATTGGGTCCGAAATCGTCCTAACATCTACATTGTACTTTTGCGCTGATATTTTGATTGTATCAACATACTGTTCTTTTGGTAAATAAGCACAAGAATAGTATGAAATATCTTGTTCAATAGTAATTGGTATGTCCATTGCACTTCCGCCGGCAAGTTTGTATGATCTTGTAGATGAGCTTACTATGCTTCCTGGTGCCGTTATTGTATAAACCTCGATAGTATCGTCAAAATCAACCTTTGATCCCATCGGAATCGCTGGTAAATTTCCCGTTAATCCAATGTCCATTTTAAGATTCCCATAAACATCGGGTCCAAGATACCGTTCGGTCAATGTAACCTGTTCGCCCGATGATGGGAATGTGATTCTTGCAGTTCTATTAAAAACACCACCCGTTAAGCTGAAACCATTGACAGTTCCCGGTTGACCTCGAGCAAAAAGCCAACCAATCAAATCAGTCAGTGAAATTAGTGATTGAAAATCACTTGGTTGCATATTTTGCAATCGACTGATTGTTGTATAAATTTGACCTGAATTTCCATCAGCATATACATAGATATCGGCAGTTCCAATATTTTGATCATTGAGTGTTCCATGAACCTGTCCAACTAATCGAACTGGTGAAGATTCTATAATATGATCAAGAAGAGTAAAGAACAATTAGTTAATTATCTAGAAATCAATTAATCTCAACTTAAATGTTCATACATTTATGTGTTAGTGTCAATAGACCTTTGTTCAAGAGGTTTTATCTTTAAGGATAAGTTAATTAAGATTGTTAGAATTGAGAAAATTTAGAAAACAAAATGTTCTATTTACTTTTTTCAGCTCAAATTATTTACTCAATGACGAAACAATCAAACTAATTCTCACCCTTAAACTCCCTAATTGTAATTTCTAATTTTGTTGATCAATTCCTTACCCAATTTGATACATTGTCTTCCATTGCCGATATAACCTTCTTTACACTTACAACAAAATCCAATCGAATATTGTTCACAATCAGCTTCTTGAGGACAAGGGTCGAATGTTGTTTCACATCGATCTGGTACTTCACTTAATCCAGTTTCCATTTCTCTAGGTGACGCAGGTCGATCGGGCTCAACGACACTACCAGAAAGTCCAGCTTTACCGATACGGAAGATAAATACACCTCTTTCTCTGATATTTGACATTCTGTAAAGAATTGAGGTCAAAACGAATGAATTATCATTTATATTTTTTTTGGTAAACATTGGGACTTACTTATCCAAATTAAGAGTTTTTGATGTTCCTGACACTTCGAGTGGGTAAAACTTGTAACCATTGAAGTCAGTGAAACCGACCTGAGCTAAAGCGGATTCTCGAGATTCTTTGTCATCGCTTTTACACCAAGTGATTCCCTTTTGTGGATACATGAAGAAAGCGTATGTTTCTTGTCCATTGGTCGCAATTACTGTTTGGAAAGTGTTTTTCTAAAATCAAATCAAATTGAAAGTATTAATAAAAGTATTAATGCTCGAGGTTAATTGCTAATGAGTTAATTTGTTTACCAATTCAGCGTTTTCATCAATAGAAGATAAATTTTTCCGGTATCGACCAACATCTAACCAAGTTACGATGACCAAATTTCGAGCTTGAAAATTTAATCCTGAAGTAAATACTGAATTTATGTAAGAATTGGCCAAAGTTAATTGTTCAGGATTGGAAGTTTGTCTAAATTAATTGAAAAAAAAAATCATAATTAACACTTTGATTGTGACTTGAAAATTTTATCGTATTACCGGTAATAAACTTTTCCTGTTGTTCGAGTGTCAATATCAGCATAAAATGGAGCAATCATTGGAATACTTAATGGTAAAGGATAATTAAGGTAATTAGCCGAATCAGCCAGAAATGAGATGATACCATTGATGCTAACCTGGTATTTGAGGAAATTAGTAAATAATTAATACTAATTACGAAAACAATTAATTACTTACATAAAGGGAATCGTAGGCACGTCCAAAGAGGATAATTGGTGATGAAAGTTGAATTGATTGCGACGCTCCTTCATCACTACCCGTTAATATTTTATCATCTGGTTCACCGAACGGAAAAAGATCACTTTTAGTAATACCTTGGCACGAATTGATTACCAGGCCGATGGATATCAACAATAAAATTAATTTATTGGCCATTGATTTGGCCTTTGATGAATTAGTAACGATTTACAAATACAAAAGATGATGAAAATGTATAAATCAAAGATGAATGAGAATCTAAATTGTCAGCAATCAACAAGACAATCAACTTGAATGAATCAACTTTAAAAAAGAGGAAAATATTGCCAATTAATCGCAATCGAGAGCAAACTAAATTATTTTTACCATTATGATGGTTCAAGTGCCCATTAAGAAAACTGATTTCACTTAATTGTTTATCTCAACATTTCAGCTAATCACTTTTTCATCTCCACAATTAACTTGATTATCTATCAATATATGAACATAAGATTAAATCTTTCACAAAAAAAACAAAACTAACGGTTATCATGATAACAATGATGTTAATCATGATCAGCTAATTAACTAGATGAACGAAAATCGATTCAGCTCATCATGAACTCTCAATTTATATCTGGTTTATGAAACTCTGTTTAATCGGCCATTTTTATCTTCTCTTTTAAATGTGATAATCAAAAAGCCGATTGATTATCAACTAATTGTAATCCGATGTTCAGATAAATAGACTATTAATACAATAATGTAAACTGTTAAGAGATATTCAAGTGAAATCAATCAAGGTTGTTTCAAATTTAACGTTAATCTCATGATTGTAGCAAAAAATTTATGTAATTTAATTATGTTAATCTTAATCATCATTACCAATGGAAGATAAATTTAATCATTTGTAAATGAATGACTGAATTGTAAACATCAGCTGAAGGTTGAAGCTTTCTATTGAATTGGCTAATCTTTATTTCAGCGTTAATTAGATTAGAGTCCCTGGGATGCTACAATTAAGATAATGACAATTAAACGAGGTTAGAGGAGTGATTTGAATCAATTTTTCCAACTTAAATAGTTGATCAACTTATTAATAGTTAACCCGATAAAGTTAATCAACAGTCTGTAAAATGAGATTCCGTACATTGAGACAGTTAAGTTCATTGAAATTGTTAACATTTACTTCAAATAATTTAATTGAATTAAATGGATATAGATTCATATCGACACTTAATGAACAGTTCAAAAGTGACGTTCTCGTCATTGGAGGCGGAATCATGGGCTTGTCAACGGCTTTTTGGGTCAAACGATCATCGCCGTCAACATCGGTCACTGTGATTGAGAAAGATCCACAGGTAAGCAATTAACTTGATCATTTGGAGAAAAGTTTACAATTTCTTTTTCGATCTCTAATCAGTACGCTGTTTGTTCAACTCCTCGAAGTGTCGGTGGCATTCGGTCTCATTTTTCCCTCGCCGAAAATGTCAAATTGTCCATGTTTAGTTTTGATTTTCTAACTCGAGTCAATGAATATTTGAACGTTAATCCCGAAGACGTTGTTGATATTGGCCTAGTGAAAAAGGGTTACCTTTATTTGGCCACTCAAAAAGGTTTGTCTACGTTAATTGAGAATCACCGAGTTCAACAATCGTGTGGAGCCTCAACCCAATTGTTAACACCTCAACAATTGAAGGATAAGTGGCCTTGGCTCAATGTCGACGATATTGCCTTGGGCTCTTATGGATTTGATAAGGAGGGTCATTTTGATCCTTATCGGTTACTAATGGCCTTTCGTCACAAAGCTCAATCTTTAGGTGTCAATTATGTTCATGGGACGGTGACTGATTTTTCGGGCTCATGTTCACCATGTAAAGTGGATCAGGTGATTGTTGATTTAGCTAAAAATCAATCTACTGCTCGTTATTCAGCTCAATCAATTATAATCGCTGGAGGTTCCGAGTGTGGATCTTTATCAAACCAGTTAATTGCTCAAAACAAATTAACCACATTGTGCCCCGTTAATAGAAGGTAAATCATCTTGATCATCTAAATATAGCATCTTAATTAAATTTAACGGAAATAACGATTACAGGAAACGCTACGTTTTTGCTTTCAAATGTGATTCCTTAAATGGTCAACAAGTGCCGATGTTAATTGATCCTTCCGGGGTTTATTGTCGAGGCGAAGGAGATAATTTCATAGCTGGTTTATCACCCGAAGAGGTGAGTTAAGTTAATTATAAATTGATTAAGATTTAATTAGAATTGTCATTTCCTTTCAATAGTCCGAGGAACCAGAGACAAACGATCTCGAAGTTGATTATAACTTTTTCGATGAAAAAATTTGGCCTCGATTAGCTGAACGGTGCACAAATTTTGAATCGGTTAAAGTTCAATCAGCTTGGGCGGGTTATTATGACTTCAATCAGCTGGATGAAAACGCGATCATAGGTCGTGATCCCGTTTGGACAAACTTATTCTGGGTCACGGGTTTCAGTGGACATGGTATTCAAATGGGACCCGCGGTGGGCAAATGCCTCTCAGAGTTGATATTAGATGGACAATATAAAACTATTGATTGTTCTCGATTCGGTTTTGAAAGAGTAATCAAAGGTGAACGATTATTGGAAACAAATATCATCTAATTGACTGAAACACCTCAAATGTTGATTGTAAGTAAAACGGATAACAATTTACTGATTGTGATGACGGTGATTCTCGTGACTGTTAATATAATTATCGTTGTTAAATCTTAATACAATTGATTGGATTTAAAAACAAAATGTACAAAAAAAACTTGTAAGGCAAAAAAAACAATGGATACACTTTTGGCAAAATAAACAACCAATGATAATAATTAATTTAGAGAGATATATAAATTGTTGATGATTGAGATGATGATCAGGGCGATTAATTAGAAAACAGATCAACACCAGATTCAGGTCATTTTACGATACAAATTCCGTCTGATGATTGATCACCAGTAAAAAATATTTGTACTCAATGAGAAGGCCAAAAAAAAACGTTGCCAATTAAACAACAATTAATCAAGAAAAAAAATCAATCGATTGAAAAACAATCAGTGAAAAAATAATCTTTCCGTTGTGACAATTTAAATTAAAGTTGAGTGTTGGTGAGAATCTCTTGAATCCAACTAGAGTAGATGAAAAGATGAAAAGAAAACAACAATTTAGTAAATTGGACAGTACAGATCAACAAGAGATTAACTAATGAAAATTACTAATCACCTTGAGGCCGATTCGGTGGTAGTGGTTTTAAATAAGATTGTGTTCTGACCCGGATGGGAAAGTTGGAATATTAATCCAGATTCTGAGGTATCTATGGTCACATCGGTCACTAACTGGACTTGATAACCAAGAATCGGAAAACTCTGAAGAGCTGCCGTATCATTGGACTCCTTGAATCGATAAAGAACTTTTTCTTTTACAACGAACCAGGCCTTTTCCAATTCTTTTTGTAGATCTTTTTATATAACAGATAACCACTGATCGAACAGTTTTTATCATCAGCTGAAACCTGGAACAATTAGTAAATTGTAGAAAGAGAGAGAAAAAAATAAAGAAATTCATTAGTAAACATGAATGGAAAATTGAAATGACACTTTGTTTGTCTCTCTATTTCTTGTTAATCAATCAAGATGAACCATAAGTGTAGACATGATTAACGATACTTCATGAAGAAAGTTAATTGTTTACAATCAAAATGTCAATGATGAAAAAAAAATGATAAATAAAATCGAGTTCAGATAAAGAGGAAAACAAGTCAAGTTTTTGTTAGCATATGATCAGAATATATAATTTGATTGTGATCAATTTTCAACACCATTATGATCGTGAATTAATATGTAAGTCAACAAACAATTAAGTAGGTTGATGGAAGTAATTTTTTTCTAACTGCTAATTATTACAATCAAATCCTATTCGGATTGTAACAATTTTTGGCTTGAAACGAAAAGACAACAATTTAAATTGGTGAGGGTAACGTTGAAAATTACCATTGGCAACATAGAAAAATCTAATTATCGTGATAAAAACATTATAATTGACGATTTAGTTTTCACTTTAGTTAACCTATTGGAGTAGATTAACATCAACAATCAATGGTTCACACTGTAATTAGACTGTAATATCTTTGCTGGAATGTGTAGCAATCAAATTAAATTGCCAAGGAATGAATTATTATCACACTGAATAAAGATATATAATTTAAATTAGTTGATAATGATGTTGCGTTTGTTGTCAAGAATTAACTAAATCATGATATCTTCGAGTGTAATTATGCATCAATGGTTTTGTCCTTGAATGAGGATGATGATTAAACAAATTAATTTTCCTTCTCATTCAATCAATTTTAACTTGTTTATTGCTTTACCCTAATTATCAACAAGTGAAAATTAAATCATAATCAATAGTTAATTGCTGATTGACAACTAACCTCTTTTAATCGTGAAGGAAGTGATCTCCTCCGACCTGACCCTCGAAGTGATAATCGGACAAATTGAGCTTTCAGATTATCTAAATCAAAACTGGACGGATTGATTGTTGATCCATTGTTATTATTATTGTTGTTGTTGTTGTTATTTGTCGGCGTTGAACTACCATTAGAGTTACCATCATCTCCATGGTCATCGTTTATTTCATCTGAAGAGGCGCCATGATCACGATTATTTGTTGGAACTGAGGTAAGACTTTTGGTCATTTGATCTCGTAAAACGGGGAAACACTGATCACAAACACGAGCCGCTCGAAATTTAAGATATCTCAATGGAGCTTTATTGGAGGAACAATCGTTACAAACGACTTTACCACAGGCTCGACAGTGGTGACGACGAAATGTCACAGTAAATTCAGCGGAACAAATTTGACACATTGTGACTCGAGTATCGGGAATCCAAATTGGAGCCTCGAAACCAAGTAAAGTGGATTTGGATGATTTACCATCGTGCGAATTTGTGTTGAATGTACTTCGGCGAGTCTCATAATCTTTTATCGCTTTTTGTATCGCCTCAATCCAAGAGACACATTCACTCGGTGTTTTAGCGGAAAGACTCATTGACCGAGAAGGCGAGATTATACTGAATTCATTTTGAAACTGTTGATGTGCAGGAACTTGAACTCTCATTCCTTCAAGTGGAAGTTCATGATTAAGCTTATAAACGGTTCCTTGTTGTAAGGGAGTCAAATAAATGAGACAATCATTGCAAAGGAGAAACAATCGAGGTTGAGGTTCATGACGTGACAGTTTGTCCAATTCTCCGTCTTTAAGTAAAACTCGTCCAGGTTTTATGATCTCATGTGCGCGAACCAATGAGGTTTGAATTTTCAATAATTTATCTGAACTATCGCCTTTACGAACAAAGTCATTCGCAAAATCAGCAATTTTACTGACCAACTCAATAGCGGCCAAAGTGTCCTTATAATCGGGATGATCTACCGTTAAATAGGTTTGATATTTTTCCAATATAAGTTTATATTGAGGTAATCGCTGGACAGGTTTGTGCATATAATGACGGACTAGCAGTTTATTGCATCGATCACTTTTTTCAAAGTCTCGTAGGGAATCAGCAAAACCTGAAAAATTAACAATAAACAAAATCATTAGTAAATAATCAACAACAATTTAGGTAATTATTGTATTGTGAATCCAATATGTTATTGACCCTTTCATATATATTCTCATAGATATTAAGTGATTAAAATGGTAATGATCATTTATTTTTAGTTGATTGTGGTGATAACAATCAAGATAATTATGTCAACGGCAAAGTGAAATAGTTAATTGAAGGTTTTCACGCAATTAAAAAACAGATTTAAATTGCAGTTGATATTACAATGAATCAGTAGTAATCAGTAATTTCTCAAAGGGTTTCAGTGATTAATTGTTGACTGAGAATTACAAGTGTAAATTGTTTCCGAGAAAAGTATAATCTAAACACTAATCATTGAGATTATCAAGTTGATTATCTATCAAGATGGTTAATCATGTTGTAATTAAAGTTTTGATGTCTTTTTCAATTGAAAATACGACAAGAAAAAGTGAACAGTTCAAATAATATCGACAAATGAATAAAATATTGATTATATTTCAACAAGTGTCTTTGTTGATGATTGACTTTGGGGTTTTTATCTGAATATATTGCAATGACACTGTCACAACAATTAATTATTAATGAATGAATAATATCTGATAAAGTTGTTTGTAACAATTAAATCATTATCACAAAGTGTTGACAATGATAAATAATTCATCTGATTGTAAGAGTATCTTTCACTTTTTTTTACATCTAATAGGAAGTTAATTGTTGTTACTTTCAATTGTTGATGCACAAAAAATAATAAACAAGTTGATTGTTAATAAAATACAGAAAGAAAACAAAATTAGCTGTTGATTGAGAAAAAGGTTAAGGTTAACAATTAGTTGATATGATTAATCTAAATAATTGCTGAATAATGATGCCCCCTGTAAATAATAATAATCCGAGCATTTGATTTGCTATCATGATTGTTTGTAATATGTTCAGGTATTAATCAATATTCAATAAAAAAATAGATGATGATGATTGTCCTTGAAGGTGAATCGGTAAAGTTAATTGTTATGAAAAAGGTAATAATTGAAGTGTAAACAATTGTAAATAAACAAAAAAGTTAAGTGTTAATTGTTAAAGAAAACGTATCCTGCTAACCTGGATATTTTTTCGTTGTTTCTTCGAGAGTTGTTACCATGGAGGTAAACTCTTTGGTGTATGGAGCGTGAGGTTTCAAGAATGGTCCCATGATGATGAGAACATCGGCAATTTTGGGTTTACTTTCCCATAAGTTGATTCGATTACGAAATTCTTCGGCTAATTGTTTATGATATTCATGTAATTCGGGCACATAGCGAAATATTGAGTTAACAATTTCCTCTGGAATTGAATTACGAATGTGTTCACGAAAATCGAGAAGTAAAACCATATTGTTGACAAAATCTTCTTCAGTTTTGTCAATTCTTGGGCTACAAGGAATAGTTTTCGCTCCTGTCGTTTTTTGGCCTCTTCTTCGGGTGAAAGGATCTTCTCTCCATCGATTTCACAGCCAACACCACCCAAATCAGTGTTAGAAGCAACAATTATTGAATTTGTTGATCCGATTGATCGGGAATCTGAAAATTCCTCTTCCGATGTTTCAATTGTTGAATGTGGATGGAGAAAACTATTAACTGTTCCATTGAGAGAATTTGATTTACTTCGTGATTCTGGTGATGATATTGAAATATTATCACACATTGAATCTTCTTGTACGTTTAGCTGATGAGATAATTGATTCTTTCTTAATTGTGGTGGAGAAGCCTAAAGAACAGGTAAAAGAGAAGAGAAAAAAACATCAATTAGATTTTTCAAATTTACAGATTAAATTGTAAACAATCAACAGTTGATGAGGAAATTATTTTACTAAAATACGAACTGAATAAATTGTAATTTGAGCCATTGGAACGTAATAATCAAAACACAATAGATGAATTGAGATTCAGCAGCAAAGGTTGAACACTATTAATTGTTGGTTAAATTGTGAATGGAAAACAAATAAACAGAACACGAAAACATACAAACTATTAAATTAAGTAACAAATTGGAGAGAGAAAAAAAAATTAAGCAAAACTAATTGATTGATCTAGTTGCCTGATTGGAAAGTTAATATAATAATATTATCGAAGCATAAACAAGATTTTTAGTTAATTTGGTTGGGAAAAAAAAGGTTGATTAAAGGTGTAATTAGAGACTAGAGTTGGAACAGTAATCAACTGATTTGATTTAGGTTTGGATAACGAGTGAGTTAATTTTTCAATTGCTCCCACTTTTTGCTCACTTGTTACATGCATCACGATTGAACATACTCATTAGTGTTTACAGTGAAAATGGTTGGTGAAAAATTCAATTCATTAGATTGATTAACCTAAACTTATCCATTAGAATCAGATTAATTGTGATTCACTTTGAAAAAAAAGAGATCAAGCAAAAAGTAAGCAGATTAACTTTGCTATTCTGTTTTCCGTTTACAAGAAAATGACTCCAGGCCATTTCTGAGTAAATTCAAATATAAACAATTCACTGATTGTCAAATGAATTGCCAGAATTCACAAAAGCGACATTAGTGTTTATCGGTAACTATAATACAAATTGTCAACTTAATTCAGCTTTTTCCAGGAAAATGAGATACTGATTGTATTGAAAATTAAATGTATTAATGGTTCATGATGATCAGTTGATGACTTATTGATTTAGGTAAAAATTAAAAGTATAAATGATCAGTTATTATCTATTAATAGATGAGATTAGTTTCTCATGGGTAAAGATTTGAAATTGAAACTGAAATTGCATAGATATTATCTTTTGATTGTTTACTTATGACCGATTGTTGTTGTTGATTGTTAGGCTGTTAAATGTGAATAATTTTTTGTTTTATGGTGATGAAGGAAAAATGATTTCACCTTTTCCTGTTGACAATTTGATTGAGCTGTTGTCGTTTGAATTGAGCTTTTGTCAGGGTGAAAAGATGATTGCTTGATGTCCGTTGAGCCATTTTCTTGGGATTGCGTTTTTGTCAATGTCGATGGTGTTGAGGTGATAGATTGTGGTGCCAGTAAGAGTGAGGAAGAGCGAAGAAGAGGATGAAGATAGAGGTGGAGGTGATTGAGATGCAAGTCGCAAATTCCTAAGGTGAGCAGGTTTAATTGGAACTGGAGGTTTGGGTGTTGTTGCTCTGGGAGTGACAGGTCGGTTGGTATTCTTGGTTGATGTAATTGATTCACTCTCACTGAGGCCATAAAATGATCCGGTATTGGATGAAATTGATGAAATTGAGCTTCGAGATGAAGGTGGACCAGGGGCAGGACGGCAAGGATAAAATCGACGGACTGGATCACCAATTATTGGAGATATTGGATCAGGTGAAATATTAGATGTTGATGATGTTATACTTATTGTTAATTGAGAAGAAGATGAATGAAGATAACTTGATGAAAATGTTAATTCTGATTGATTATCAACAAATTGATTCTTATTAGAATTGATTAAATTGTTGTTCAATGTCAATTTAGGTTTAGGCTTATTGATAAAAGGTTTTTTTTCACTTTCTTCTTGTTGTTGTTGTAAATTAATTGATGGTAAACAATTATCATCATCACCTTTTTTACCATTAATTGAGCAATCATCAGATTCACTTTTGGTTTCGCCGATTGTTGAACTGTTGTTTATGGTTAGTGGACTAGACATTTCACTTGCACGGATTAAAATACTAATTAAATCAATCAGATTAACAGAATGACAACACTCCCATTTGAAGTGGAAAACTAGAATAATCAAATTGCCGAAATGAAGAATCACAGATTTTTCCCCAGTCACACCTCGAAAAAGAAAACAGTCAACCAGATGGCAGCACTAGAAAAGAAGAAAAATCAAAACAAATTGTTTTCTTTTTCTCTCTTGTGTCAACATTAAAGAGAATAATCAAATTCTCTATTGTAATTGATTATCTTTTATCTTGATTTGTTTCTTCCAATTTCTCTTGTGAATCTTGTTGATTGATTAATTGTTGATCTGTTTCTCTGTTTCTCTTTTTTTTCGTTTGTTTAGTTGGATAAGATTTTTGTTATGACTCTTCCTGAAGGTAAAGATCAAACCTCTTCTGTTGTTGCTGCAACTGCTTCTTCTCCTGTTGGTGGAGGTGGTGGTAAAATTGATATTCTTTTGAAAGCCACTGGTGATGCTCCAATTTTAAAGAAAAGAAAATGGCTGGTTGAGGGTGAACAGAATATTGGATTTATTTTAAATTTTGTTAAAAATTCTCTTAAATTAAATCGCAATGAAAGCTTATTCATCTATGTTAACCAAGCTTTCGCTCCTGCACCAGATCAGAAGATTAAAAATCTATACTCATGTTTTGGTTCCGATGGTAAACTGATCCTTCACTATTCAAAGACACCTGCTTGGGGTTAATTAAAAGTTTAATTAATTCTTTTATACTGATGATTCACTAATTTAACAATTAGTCTACAATTTACTTGGATTTTTACTGAAAATCAAAATATCGATTCAATCGATGGTATCGAACACAAATGAATCATGTGTTCATTTTGATTTTGTGAATTTTTTTTAGATACCGAAGTCAGTCAGTTTTTAGCCAAGTAACTGACTGACGAGAAAATCAAGTGGCGGTCGACTAAAGTCGACTGAAGTCGACTCGCAATATTTTTCGACTAGAGTCGACTGGAGTCGATTTAAAACCGCGAAATTACAATTTTGAGGGGATTTTGATGAAATTTTTTTCTATTCAATTAGCAATAATAAATTAATAGATATTCGATTCATTAAAATTGTAAAAACACGTGATTATCAGTCAGCTTTAGTCGACCTAAGTCGACTAACTCACAGTCGAGTCAGTCGATTCCAAAGTAACTTCGACTCAGTCGATTTAATTGTGACTGACTGACTGACTGAATCGACTGACTTCGTATCTAATTTTTTTCTTTCTCTATTTTTAAACATCTTCACCAATTAAGATTGTATACTTATTAATTGATGAATATTATCAATAATCATGTCCAATGATGTTAAATGTTCTCTTTCATTAGAAGTTCGTTTTAAATCTCCACGTGAAGCCGATATCGCTCATAATAGTTTGGTTGTTGACGATGAACCACCTCGATCAAAAGTAACCAAATCAATTACTCCAATTAGTAATCAACTTCATTGTAAATTCACATCAAATGAGATCTCATCTCTTCGTGCCAGTATCAATAGTTTCATGGATTCATTGATTTTGATTCAAAAGACAATCGATAAATTTGATGTGATCCCAACTTCCAATCAGTGAAAAAGATTCTCCAAATCTTTTATATTAATTGAGTCAAAGGAAACGATTTACCAATTTATCTAAAACCAATTAATTCACTAACAATTACCCTAAATCATCAACACTCTAAATCATGGGTGAAGAAGCCTTACCTTTACCATCTCCTGGTCGATGTATCTATGGTTATGGTCTATTTATCTTATCGAATTGCCTTTTGATCATGTATTTCATTTCACTTATTCCTGATCATTTGCTTGACGATTTTGGATTATCTTATGTCCCATCAAAATATTGGTACATTGCGATTCCAACGTTTCTTTCAACTTTAATCTTCGTATTTGGTTTCATTATTTATCCGTCAATTGTGATGCTATTAACTGAACCGATGGAGTCGATACATTTGTTTACAGATAATTTTTCTAATCAAAAATGTAATTTAATCCCGGATCGTGGTGACATCTCTTCAATTTATGATATTCCGGTTGAAATTACAACCAAAATGCACTATTATAGACCAGAAATTGCGTGAAAAAGTTTAAATTGTCTCTTTGAATGTTTCAATTAAACGATCAATTTAAATTTATTTCGATAATCTATATCAATGAAATATTTCGATAACATTTTCCTGATTTCATCTCAATCTTTTTTTTTAACTAAACACTTATTTCACAGGTAATTTGGGAAAATTTTTCACAGACAGTGATTAGAAACGAGCCTCCAAATCCAATCTTGTTGGTTTTGTTTCTTCGGCAATCACATCCTTAGGAGTTGTAGGTGGATACAATCCTTTAACATGTGAATCTCCGTACCAATCAGCCCAATCGGGGAAAGTCATTGCGAAAGTTTCCACTGTGTGCCATTCAATAGGCCACATCTTCTCAAACTTGGCGATCTATAGAAATGAGGGTGAAAATTTAATAGAACGTAATTATTTATTCCCATCAAGGTTCATTATTCATTTCATGTTATATATTGTATCTCGAAAAACCTACCATTTGTCGACATTCATCATTACGTTCCTCGTAGAAAGAAACCATTTGCTTAGCAGATTCAATTGATTCCTTTTCCATTTTCTCAATTGTAGCAGCTAAAGTATCATCAGGATAAGGAATCTTAGCAAGAGCCTGTTTGTATGAGGCTTCCAATTTATCAACAATATCTTTGTTAGAAACGGTGGCTTTTAATGCATTCCAATCAATAGCTGGAGGAGCCTCAGGGTTTTCTTGAACTCTGAACACAATTAATTAGAACAATAAAAAAAATATAAATATCAATTAAAGAGGCAATTAAATTAGAAGGAAAAAAAATCAATACTTACTTTCTAATGTATGTTTCCGATGCAGCTTTCAATTTCTTGAAAGATTGGGACTTGTATTCACCGGTGAATTTTTGTACTTTTGCCCAATCGGTGGCTGACTTGGTAATCCTTTTCATCGACATGTTGATTAATTAAACAAATAAACACTAGATAATAAAGGAAATCAATTTAATTTACAATTTAATCAATAATCAACAAGAACAGAGGTGACCCAGCAAGTGGAATAAATTCATCCACCAGATGGCACTTAAATCGAATCAAACAACTGCTACCATCTGGCGAATAGAAAAGTAAACCAAGTGATCGAAACTCGAAATTTTTTCAATTTTGACAATTAATCAACTAAACTTTAGTTATTAAACATTAGTAATTTACTTTAAATCCCGAGAAATGATTATCTCAAACAAAAAAGTGTAATGATAATTAGATAAGTTAGATTACATATGAAAGAAATCAGAGTAATACAGTTAAGTTCAATTGGGAGAAGCAATTATTTTATTTTGATTCCAATCATCATCACTTTCCTGTTAATCAACCAACCATGAATCTGTAATAAAATGACAACAATTGGAGTAATTATCTAATGAAACAATTAAGTAAAAATGAATTTCAACTAATCACCAAAATAAAAGGTATTACCTATGAAGAAAAAAAAAATGAATCAATCTAATTTAATTACAACCATTAGTGAACCACAACAACAAGAAGCAAATTAAATTAACCACAACGATTTATGATTAATAATGAATGATGATGTAATATCGATAATAATTGAAAGAAAATTATATAGATTAAATCATAGGAATAAAATGATATCAGAAACGTAACGAAATCAAATTAATTTCTCATAAACGAAAGAAAGAGAAATTAAAGTTAGAAATTAGAATCAATTGAATTTGTATCGAATTAGAAGAGAAAAAGAAAAACACAAAATGAATTGAATTTAATAGTAATTATTGAATGGAATTAATCAATTTAATCTCATATTAAATGGCAACAATCAACTAATGGTAATAATAACAAACGACAAAAACAATATGAGAAATTGAATGGGAAGGAAAATATTGCAAGAGAAAGTTTCGAACTTGCGTAGTTCGAAACTAAGAAAAGTTCTAACTGAAAATAAGGTTACTAGTAGTGGATGAGAGAGAGAGAGAGAGAAGATGATAAAAGATGATGAAGATGAGGATGATTATGATGCAAAGTGAAAATAGTGTAACTTTGTAGTTGAAACATGAACAAGAAACATGAACATGATATCAAGAAGTTTTTTTTCACCGATATTTACATCAACTTGAATCAACTTGGAACATGTTTGATTATTATAATTAATTTTATCATCGCCATGATTTATGTTTAATACAAAACAGAAAGACAACAATTAGTAAATTGAATGATTGAACAAACAACAACAACAACAATTAAAAGTTCGTAAAGTTTTTTTATGATATTAACAATGTGATCGTTGTAATAACGATTCAGAACATAACAGAATTGGAAAAAAAAATCTCAATTTTCTTCAATCATGTTGATGTTTCAATTAATTGTTTACTATTAAAAGTTAATCATCTTTGAAGTTAACTTCCGATGACCACTTCCTTTTCATCAGTTATCATCTTTTATCCCGCAATCAAATTTAATCATCATAACTAAAGGTGATTACCATGATTACCTTCAAGAAAATTGATTGATAATCAATCGGTTATCAGCTTGATTTAGTTGAGTATTTGTGATTGAAATGATTGATTAGATTTGCTTTTTTCCTCCAGTTAAGATAAAATTTATGTCATTATTAAGGTGACATTGAAATTATCATTTCCTTTGTGTCTTCATCATCATTGTCACCATTAGGCTAATTGTCTTAGTGTCCAGTAAATTTTTCAGAAAGTGATTTAACTTGATTCTGATTTTGTTTTCTTACCATGTGAATATTGGATTATGACTAAAATCCAACCACAAACTGGATCAATGATCATTTCAAATGAATACAATTCATTGATTGATGATTTCTCATCAACTTCATCTTTATCTTCCTTTACATCATCACCGACAACAACAGTTATCCCACCATCAACTTCATCATCATCTTCGTTGACACTAACGTTTGAATCAAATGAATTTAGTGGCAACAGTTTAGGTGAATTATTTCACACCGTTGGCCTTGGAGTGACATTAGCCGCCCTTATACTGACCACAATAGTGGGAAATGTGTTTGTCATTATTGCCATTTTGATGGAGAAAAATTTACGCTCAGTGGGCAATTATCTTGTCCTCTCTTTGGCCATCGCTGACCTAATGGTCGCCTGTCTTGTGATGCCTTTAGGGGCTGTTTATGAAGTGGCTGGTGAATGGATTCTGGGTCCTCAATGGTGCGATATTTGGACTTGTGCCGATGTCCTTTGTTGTACCGCATCGATCCTTCACCTTTTGGCCATTGCAATTGACCGATATTGGGCAGTGACAAATATAGATTACATTCACAATCGTAATCCAAATCGTATTGGAACTCTAATCATTTGTATCTGGTCAGTTGCAGCGGTCATTTCAATTGCACCCGTTTTGGGCTGGAAAGATCCCGATTTCGAGAAACGACTTCGAGACGAAAAAAAGTGCCTCGTATCACAAGATGTCGCCTATCAAATTGTCGCCACTTTTGCCACTTTCTATGGTCCCCTTGTCTTCATCTTACTACTTTACTGGAGGATTTATCAGGTAATTAGTTAATTTCTAATTCACACAATCAAACACTGACCCAAACAATTAGTAAAATTAACGAGCCAGTCGCTTATTAGCAAATCATAAAGCACCAATATCATAAACTAGAAGCAATCACAATTTCCATCAAGAGTTTTCATTTTCCTAATGATTAGTTAATTGTTCATTTTACCTAAATTGCAATTTACTTTGTTGATCTAATCTACTTAAATTGAATCATCTGGCCTCTATGTTAATATGCAACTTAAGCAACAATCATAATTACAAAAGTTGATTACACTTTTGATTGCTCAAACTGTAATCACTACTAAGCTAAATGATTAAAATCTATTAATAGTAATTAAGTAATGATAATTAACTAACACTAATCAAGTGTTGAAAAGTTATATTTAAATGTAATTATTTGTTTACCAAAAAGTAAATCATGATTTAGTTAATCAAATTGAACACTTTTTTTCTGCCTTCAACAACAAATTAACTAAAAGTAATAAATTAACAAACAGTTAATATCCTTAAATTATAACAATGAATTAGGATTACAATTAAATTTGATCCACTTTAAATTACACACAACAATTTGATTTGCAATATAATAAATCATCAAGTGAAAATAGTTGTGAATCTTAATCAGGAAATGAATGAACCTCGTAAATGGGTTAACATGTAGACCAAGATGAAGATGATGAGGATGAGGATGAGGATGAAGATAAGGATTAACTGTAAATATTCAAGGTTTGCTTTTTATTTCTCATCTTCAGATGAGGATGATAAGGAAGATGAGAGAGATTTAGTTCACCAAATACAAAATTGTTGATCGTATGTAAATATTATAATATAACATTGGAAAGTCATTGAAACCTCATAAATCAATGTTACACTTTTTGTATGTTTTGTTATTTGAGTAAACAATTTAATCTAAATTCAGTTAACCAATTTATTTGATTGTTGTTTTCCAATTGATTACAATAATGATTTAGAATTGATCAAAACTCATTAATTTACCTCTTTAATTACATCTTGATGAGTTGAGCCTTAGGTTGATTATGTTTATCCCGAAAATGTTGATTAACTGTCTATCATTGATTCATTTCATTGTCACAATTAATTTCTGATTAATTTATTGAATTTGTATAATAATAATTACTCACTAGTAATGATAATCACAGTGATTATAATTAAAACATTGATAATAATTAACTTAATATCCAAACAGTTAAATTGAAACATTGAAATTGGAATTGATTGTTTCTTTTTATAACAATTAAGACATTTTATCAATTCACTAATGTAATTAACACGATTAGTTTATTTTTAAACATGTTAATTGTTATAATTTTCAAGTTTTCTGTTGTTAATTGTTGCCAGTTAATTGCTGTTTATAACCCTTTTCAAATTAAATCTTTGATAAAAATTTTCCCGAGACAATTAAATCAATTTAGATATTCAATTTAATGTATTACTGGATCAATGGTTTTACAATTTGATACTATTTCTAATTAGTTAATTACTCTTCAGATTAAATTGTAGATTAAATTGCAACAATTTGAATGTAAAGTAATGAAATTAATTGATTACAAGTTGATCATTTAATTTAAACCTAAAAAAATTGAACCATTCATTGTGATCATTAATCTTTGATGATCAACTAATTGCAATAAATGAGCAATTTAATTACAGTGATTAATTTACATCTATGAGCTGTTTCATTAACTTATTCATACCAATGCTTTTTGATAATCAGGTTGATTATTTTCATATTAATTTCTAACAATTAAACTATAGATCAACTAAGAATCAGTTGATTCTTAAGATGATAATCTACCAGTTAACAATGAATACCTAATAACAGGGATTCGGAGGGATCATAATGAATTTATCGTTATTATCATGATCATTTTCATCCTCATCATCATCATCATCCCAGAGGGAGAAGGTAGAATATTTCATCAAAAGGTAAGAAGATACTGATGAAGGTAAAATATTATATCGACAAAGATGATGATGGAAATGAAGACAAGGTAAATAAATGATTTCAATAGTAAATGTTTGATTCTTTATCATCTTGAGAGATAATATTCTGAGGATGAAGAGATAAATATATAAGTCAGAATAAGAATCTTTAGTTAAAATCATCTTCTTTTAACCCTCTCATTCCCTTTTCTTAAGAAAGCGATGATTATCATGATGATTCCTATTCTCAATGGAGAAATCTTATTTCTTCCGAATGATTATCTCTCAGGGAGACACTTAAGTCTACTTGGTGAGAGAAAAAAGTTCTCAATGAATTGTATAGATAACTTATCTTCATCATCACCAAGAGATAGGAAGACAAGGTAGATTGAAAGACTTTCTCTGTTTTCTTTCCGATTGTTATCAATTTATCGACTGATTAAGGTGAAGAAAAAAAAACAACAACAAGACAAAATCAAGAGAAACTACTACATCTTCATTGATACTTTTCTCTCATCATCCTGATCCTCATCACCTTATCATCTCTACTCACCTTTACTTACAAATGACAGAACAATTCAACTTCTAAATTGATACTTACTTATCTTCATTTGGTTAAGTTCTAAATTAGTTACAATAAAGTTTCACTTTCGACCAAAGTATTAGAAGAAAAAGTTTCGAACTTTTCTCCTCGAGTTCAAAACTCTTTCTCTCTTTCTTACCTTGTTCTAACATCGACAGTTATGATGATGGAAGAATACAAATGATCAACAAGTGAACATTATTAAAGATAATATATTATCTCATCTCTTTTTCTTTCTCTCTCAGTTCTAACAATTGGAATGTTCAATTACGATAAATATTGATTGTTTGATTAAACTCTCCAATTGTTTGATTATCTTTTTGTGCCATGATATTCAATTGCTATCAACGATAACACTATCGTAATGATTATTGATTATCATGAAATAAAATCCAATGGAATCAAATTTTTGCCTCATCTAATTAAATGTGATGCTTATTGTTTTACTTTTCATTGTTAATATCCCATTTTTCACCATTCAATTTGATTATCATCATTTTTATTGACAACATTTCTAATCAAATTGACTTGATTAATAAATTTTTCATCATTATCCATGTTACATATCAAGATTAATTAATTGTCTATGAGATAAACATTAATACTTTTATAATAATAATAATAATATAAAAGGATTTCCAATAAATCTCTCATAATCAAGATGATCATCTTCATCTCATAAGATGATGAAACCTTTTTCTCTGTTCAGTTTTCTAATCATCAATATTATCCCTTTTTTCATGCTCATCTTTTCATCCTCAATCATAAGCTGGATTGTTGAGTCCATTAAAATGGAATGGAAACAAAAAATTGAATTAGATAATCTCTGAGTTCAACATTGATTATCTTTCCATGGGTTTGTTGTATTTCCTTTCCACTAACCACCATTGTCAATTTCATCTATTCACCAAATCAATTGATAGTTCATCTTTTATCCTCATCCTTTTTTTTTTAATGCTCCACATCCTCTTATCCATCGTTGGAAACTTTTTCTCTTTATCAAACTTAAAAGTGATAGAAAATTAAATTAGAAAAGTTAATTTCCCATAAACGAGAAGAGAAAATTTATTCTGAATATATTATATTAGAATTTACAATCATTTTAATTACTGTGATTCTAATTTTGCAATTTCCGTTTAATCAGTTAATCACAGTTTGTCCAGATCTCGATAAAAACTTATATCGATATAAACATTTATTAGAATCTATTAGAAACTTTGAAACCGGAAAAAGGAAGTCAATTGAAATTGAATCGTTAAAAATGTGATTAGAAATTATTTTTATTGATTAAAACAAAAGAAAGTGATTAGTTATGATAATTGGAAAATTAGTGTTGATTGTGAAACGCTGATTTAGTTGAACTTTGATTTGAACAATTAACCGTTTGAATTATCATGAGAAAGTGATTATCTTTCTCGGAAATCAAGTTGATTGTAAACCAATAAGTTTTTGTATTATTCCGATTCTTGATTACTATGGTTACTCTTAACACTCTAATCATATTATTTACTGATGAAGCCAGAATTTACTTGATGATAAATTGATAGGAATATTAGTAGTTAGTAAAAGGTAGACTCTGGACCAAGTGATGTTTCTGGACCAGAGTCAAGTGAGGTTTCTGAACCAAGTGAGGTTTCTGGACCAGGTGGTTCTGAACCAAGTGAGGTTTCTGGACCAGAATTTTTTGAATAATTTTTTTTGGGCATTTTTTTGGCGCGAAATTTAAATTGAAATTTTTAATGAATAGATTGAAAAGGGTGATACAGTGAAATCAAAGGCCTCTTCCTCGGCCATCGGGGTGAAACCATTGAGTTTTTACTCCTAATTCTTTTCCCATTTTTCTCATCACCCAATCAATGAATGAAAGTTCATTATCTTCATTATCATCCTGTGATATTTTGAGAGCCGTTTTTAATGACCAATTTTCTGCGTAGAGTTTTGCGTTTTTAGCCGCTTCTTGATTAAATTGGTCATCGATTTCAACACATTGTTGCACTAAGCTATCAATCCTTGAATTAAGGTGATGGGTGATTTGTGTGGCTCGCCCATTTATCAAGCGCTCCATTGCGTATTTTGCCACTTTTTTGACAATGAATTTTTTTCGATCACTCAGTGAGTGGGACATTTCGATTAAACTAAATATCAGGTCAATTTTATGTGTAACTGGTCCTTTTTGATTCAAAAAATCCCTGAAATAAGATTAAAGTTATAAAGTTAATTACAAAAACAATATCAGACATGAACAAACCTTACCTAATGTAATTCATGAACACATCGTCATCAGATTCAGATGATAGTGATGATAGTGATGATGATGGTGGTGGAGGTGGTGGAGGAGGTGGTGGAGGAGATAATGATGATGAAGATGAACTATTCATGGTAATTAATGAACACAATTAAGGTGATACTATGTTATTTGAGTGATGTAACAATAACAACAACAAAAATATTCTCCGTAGAATAA